GGAAGCCAAGAGCCCCAAGAGGGCTCCAAGACAACCCCAGAGGCTTCCAAGTGGTTCTGCCTTGGTACCACTCGAGCCATACGGGCGAAGTGCCTCGAATGGTACTCGCATGGTAGTATGTACTCGAGGTATGGCTCCAGTAGTACTGCCTTGGGACTACATACGTCACATCGACAAACAGACAAACGCTGCACCTGCTTGGTGCGACTAGATGTACGCATATTGTATGACTCAGATGGCACTGCATTGATACCACTTGAGTCATACGGCAGTCGTGCTGAAGCGATCAGGACACACCACGTTGTCCAACGATTGCGAGCAGCATCGGAGAGTCGAATGGCGGATGGGATGATGCGTGATCTGCTCAGTGATGAAAACGCTCAAGGATTCCGACACTCCGAGAAAAGCGCCGCAACGACCCAAGCAGGTTGCAAGATGCCAACAACACGCGCCCAAGAGGCCAACAGAGGGCTGCTAAAAAACAATAGGCTTTTCCACTTACCTTGGTATCCATACAAGTGGCCCTTGACCCACGACTTTGGCCAATGGTCACGTCCACTGCCGCATGGACTCGTGGATTAGCAAACGAACAAATCGAGTGGTCGTAAGAAAGCGCTGCTTGGATCACATCGATTCCACATGCCAGTGCCACTATCGCTTGGACTCATACCTTCACGGACGATCTGACTGCAATGGCACCCAGGCCCACTGGAATCGATGCGACCTGGATGTCACTATTCAGGTACCACTTTAGTCGTGCAACTCGAAGCCAAGAGGGGCGCATCCCTGAAGGCCCTCGAGGGGCATCAAGATCCAAGATAAAACGCTACGATCATCCAACTCTCCGCTGGCCCAGAAGCCCTGGCACGGTGGCGGGATGGGCCGAACTCGGTTCAGATTTGGCCGACTTGGAGCCTGTCTTAGCGTTCGCTGCAACCTCTTGCATCGTCTTCTCGCGTAGCGTCTCGCCTTCTCTGGGCATGACTTGACTTCTCATTGCACCGGCCTTGCAGACGTGCTGCAACGGATTTCTGCGTGGATGTTTGCCCGAAACGGCGAGCGAAAAACGAGGTGAATTTCGCGTGGGTTCTTTTTGGTCTTCATTCCTGACCAACAAACAATCCGCACGAGACTCACCTCGAAATCCGGAGCGAAACACTCCAGGACTCTCGGGGCCCATCCTGTCGTCTTCCGAAGGAAATCCGCTCTGCGATGTTGGTGCCATGAGACTTCTTCGGCCACTCTGGGCAGTCCGGGTCGCGCTGGGGGGCTCCCCGCCTCCTGGAAAGGGCGCCGGGAAGTAAGAGCCTGTCTGGGGGCGCTCGCGGGGGCTGGGAGGCCACCTTTTGCGGCGCTGCTGGTCCCACATTGGGACTGTCTGGGGGGGCCCTTTTTCGGGGGCGCGCAAACATGGATTAGCGATCCATGGATTTGTCGCGCGGTCGCCAAGTCCATGGATCGTGGGAGGTGCCCTCCCCAAAATGCGGCTGGTGCCTCCTCGCTCGGCGGCGGAAATCAGCGATTTCCCATGGAAACGGGACCCGTCGCTAATCCACGCCCCCTTGATCCATGTTTGCGATCGCCTGGCTTTTGAAGCTGTCTGAGGCCTCGAGGGCCCTTCAAGGGCCCTTCAAGGGCGAAAGGTAAAACGAGCAAATCTCCACTTGGCGGCTGACCGACTTGAGCCTCCCGTGGATGCTCTTTTGCGAGCATGTGCGGCCGGCCTGGGGGGCCCTCGAGGCTGTCCAGACATATCTCGTCAGGCCTTGTCTCCTCCGGTGCCGTCTCGTCTGGTCTTTGCATTGTCGTCTGGGGCCGTCCTGAGGGCCGTCCAGGAGCCGGCGACACGCGAGCTCTCCATGGCCGAGCGCCGACGGGAGGGACCCGCCCGCCCTGCAGGAGGGGGAAGTGCCTCCCCCTGGACTGGGGCGAGGAAGCTCCAGAGATCCACGGCGGCCTCTGTGGTGGACTTCTGGGGGGCTGGTCCCGAGCTTCGACTTGACGGCGGCACCCCCTTCTGTTCCACTGTGCGCTCCTGCGCAGCTTTGCCCAAGGCAGCCCACCTCAGGGATCGATTCTGGATGTGCTGGTGGTGCCACGAGGCGCGTCAACGAGTCCTGGTAATTGTGCTCGCCATCCTCCATTCTCCGCCACCTCATCATTTACACCTCATCCATCGCGATAGCACATCTGCTTCACTCCTGGGTCTGCTCAGTTTGATGTCGAATTTCTGTTTCGCAATTCCCTCCCTCTCTCTCTTCTACTCCAGGCTGCCACGCTTCTCCTGGATCGGGGCCACTCGCCTGGGGATCTGTCTGTTGGATGCGCAGGTTGGGTTCTGAAGGCAGTGCGACGTCACAAGACTTAGGTCGGGCATGTCCCCCCACAGCGGGATTTTGGACGAAGATTTATAAGTTGTCGAAACGATACTCCAAAATTGTCAAAAATCGTAAAACAGATCGTCCCCAGACTATTCCTTGACTATTTTGGGGATATTCCTCCTATAGAGGGGCAGGCCCGACTTGAGACAAGACCTCACTGAGGAGGAAAGAGGACAACGAGGTTGGAGGGACGAGGCAGGCGGGAGGAAGGAAACGGAGGGACAGCAGGCCCCAGCAGCCCGAGGAGCGTGACGTCGAGGTGCGCCACGGGAGGCGGGAGGCGGAGGGCCTCCCTACTCCTTGCCCTCCATCTCCTCCTCGATCCTCGCTCCTCCTCCTTCTCCTCCTCCTCCTCCTCCCGTCCTCCCTCCCTCATCCTCATCCGCATCCTCATCCTCATCCTCATCCTCAAACTCATCCTCCTCCTCCTCAACATCAGCATCATCATCATCATCATCATCATCATCATCATCATCATCATCATCATCATCATCATCAGCATCATCATCATCATCATCATCATCATCATCATCATCATGTTCATCATCATCATCATCAGCATCATCATCATCATCAGCATCATCATCAACATCATCATCCTGCTGTTCCTCCAACTCCGCCCCAGGCTCCTTTCCCTCCTCCTCCTTCTCTCTTCTCCCTCCTCCATCTTCCACAATGCTCCTCCTCCTCTTCCTCCTTCTCCTTCCTCCACGATCCTCCTTCTCCGCCCTCCCCGAAAAAGAAGAGGGAGGAGGAATAGTTAGGCCCCCACCTCCAGCTCCTGGAGCTCGAAGGACTGCAGCCTGGGGCCAGCAGTAGAGCCGCCGCGCGCCACGCTCCGTCGTCGTCGTAGTCGTCGTCGTCGTCGTCGTCGCCGTCGCCGTCGCCGTCGGCGTCGGCGTCGGCGTCGGCGTCGGCGTCGGCGTCGGCGTCGGCGTCGGCGTCGGCGTCGGCGTCGGCGTCGGCGTCGGCGTCGGCGTCGGCGTCGGCGTCGGCGTCGGCGTCGGCGTCGTCGCCGTCGCCGTCGCCATGGCCGTCGCCATCGCCGTCGCCATGGCCGTCCTCTCTCTCCTCCTGCTCCTCCTGCTCCTCCTGCTCTACCTCCTGCTTCTCCTCCTCCTCCTCCTCCTCACTCCTCCGCCTCCTACTGCTCAGAGTGACCAAATTCGTGGTCAGGGCCACTGTCGTCGCCGTCGTCGTCGCCGTCGCCGCCGACGTGGCCGCCGTGCCGAAGTCGTCAAAGTCGTTGTAGTCGTCGCCGTCGCCTCCACCCTCAAAGTTGCCCAAATCGCTGTCGTCGTCGCCGTCGTCGCCGTCGCCGCCGCCTTGGCCCTCGCCGCCGTCACTGCCCGGAGCGCCCGAAGGTTGCACGAGGCCAGAAGCCGACCTATACGGCCCTGCCCGAGCGAGTCGCCTGCGGCGTCTCGGGCCCGGGATGGGGCGGCCCGGAGGACGCCCCCGCGCCCTCGGCAGCAGTCCGGCTGCGCGGCGGCGAGGGCAAGCTTGGCCTTAGAGGCCTCCTCGATGGGGTCCGAGTAGGTGGGGTCGAAGGATCGCGCCGCATCGCCCGTGCATCGCCGATGCGGCTCGATGTGGAGCCCGTGTTTCCCCACGCCGACGCCGCCGATGCATCGCCGGCGAAGTCCTCCTCCTTCGGGGATCTTCTGACCCGGGTCAATCCAGACCTGGGTCAGTTAGGCCTTGCAGAATCCTGCAGGACCCTGCGAGATCCTGCACCCAAGCCCGGGCCAATGCAAAGAATCCTGCAAGATCCAGCAACCAAGCTCGGGTCAATGCGATCATGGCCCTGTAGGATCCGGCAAGATCGGGCGCTCTGGCTGACCCCCGTTTGCGTTGACCCCCGTCTCAAGGCTCCCGACTCCTCCTCCTCCTCCGCGGAGGTCCGGGTGTCCCAGCTTCTTCGAGCCGCGGCATCCTCTCGCCTGGCTTCGGGCTCCGCGGACCTCGCAGATCGCTCAGCCTCGCAGGAGGGCGCAGAAAGATGGGGCCCAAGGCTCAGGTCACGACTTCTCACACAGGGCCTCCATTGTGCCGCGACTTCGGAACTCGGGGTCCTCCTCTGCCTCCTCCCACTCCTCCTTCTCCTCCTCCTCCTCGTCCTCCTCCTCCTCTTCCTCTACACGGCGTGCACGTGAGACTGGGAGGCGGCTGGGGGGTGCGCTCTGGAGGGGCACCTGCAAGCCCAGTCAGGAGGGGGAAGGGGGCGAATTCGGCATCTCTTGAGCAGTCACCGACCGTCCCGGCATTCTGATAGGCCTCCCACGACATGTTCTTAAAACCCAAGACTGTTCTAAGAACAAAGAATATTCTTAGAGCACAGACCGGATGTGTTGACACAAGACAGTCTCGGCCAGAAATGTTATGAGAGCATCTCGTGCAGACCACAAGAGGCTGTGGAACAGTCTTTGGTGGGGCTGCAGGCGAGCCAGGACGCTTTGCCACTGCTTGAATCTCTTGGCCATCTGGAGGAGCCGGCCCAGATGCGACGGGGATCGAAACCTGCATGTACATGCAGCGGTGCCTCTCCCTCTCGCGAGCGGCTGGGCCCCGTGCGATGCCCCAGCTCGGCTCCCCAGCAAGCTGCTGCACTTCGGTCGGGGATGTCCTCCTACAGGCGGCACGTGAAAGACACATACAAAACGGACAACCAACTACTCAAGAATGGACAAAACAATGCGAACAATCGTCCCCAGACCACTGTGGGGCCATTGGATAAGGAAGCGCTGGATAAGGAATCCAGGGTCTGGAAGCCAGTGGAAAGCCAATCGAGGCTTGGTAATGGGTATAACCACCGCCCTCAGCAGATGAGGAATCCTCCAGGGTCTGTAGCCTCCTGGGTACGTTCCTTAACGAACGCCCCAACCGTTTTTGGTTTCAACCATTCTCGAAAATTCCTCCTGTGGAGGGACATGCCCGACTCAATTCTACATGAGATGGCCTCGGGGGTCTTGACGGAACGGAGATATGACAATGACACCGGCTCTCCACAGGCCTCCCCCCCGACATTCAATGTCCTGATGTTTTGAATACGGGACCCCCGAAGTCCCAACCCTTTCTCCAGGACCGGTTTTCATCCTGACTCGTCTTTGACAGTCCTACACGGCCAAACATCCCCTGTCATGATTTTTCCCGCCCCCGTGGTCTTGCCATAGGGGTGCCAGGCGTGCTGGATCCTAGACGGGATGGTTTTGATTCGTTTTCAAAAGAACTCTCCCTGGGGCTTCGGCCCGCACCGCGGGCCATCCGAAGCCCGCACAAGACCAGAAAGGCACCACAAAGGACCCCAACGTCCGGAAAGAAATTACCAAGACGGCTCAGGATGGCCTCCAAGACAGCCCAGATGCCCAAAGATGGCCTCCAAGATGCAAGATGGACAAGATGGCCCCCAAGACGGCTAAGACGGCCCCAAGATGCCTCCAAGATGGCCCAAGATGCCTCCAAGATGGTCCAAGATGGCCTCAAGACGGCCCAAGATGGCCCTAGAGGCCCCCAAGAGGCCTCCAAGACGGCCCAAGAGTCCTCCAAGAGGTCCTCCAGGAAGGCCCGAAGAGGCCAAAATCATTGTTTGCTTAGGTTTTTGAAAGGTTTGGGCATTTACTTCTCTTCGGTCCTCCGACTGCCCGAGACGGCCCAAGAGCCCCCAAAGGTCGCCCAAAGATCGCCCAAGAGGCCTCCAAGATGACCCCAGCACGGCGCAAGAGGCCCCCAAGACTGCCCCAAGAAGGGAAAGCCCACAAGGCCTCCAAAACGCAGAAAATGGCCTCCAAGACTGCCCTGGAGTACCCCAGGAGAGCTCCAAGTCGGCCCAGAGAGGCCCTCAAGACAGCTTCCGAGGGCGTCAGACAGGCCCCAAGGCCACCAAGACTGCCCACGATAGCTCCAAGCAGCCCAAGAGGCCCCTCAGAGGTCTCCAAGACGGCCCAAGAGCCCTCCAAGAGGCCCAAAGGCTTTCCAACTACATCCCACAGATTTCCCAAAGATTTCCCAAGAGGTCTCGAAGATTTTCCAGAAAGGCTTCTGAAGGATTTTGGTATTTGCTTCTGTTCGGCCTCCCGACGGCCCACGACGGCCCACGAGCCCCCAAAAGGTCGCCCCAAGATTGCCCAAGGGACCTCCAAGAGGGCCCCAGAACGGCCCAAGAGGCCCCCAGAACGGTCTCAAGAGGGCCCCAAGACGGCCCAAGAGGCCTCGAAGACGCCCAAGATAGCCTCCGAAATGGCCCTGGGGCATCCCAAGAGGGCCCCAAATCGACCCAGAGAGGTCTTCAAGATGGCTGCCGACGGCGTCCGACGGGCCACGAGCCCCCAAAGATCGCCCCAAGATCGCCCACGAGGCCTTCCAAGATGGCCCTAGAATGGCGCAAGATGCCCCGAAAACGGCCCCAAGAGGGCCCCAAGACGGCCCAACAGGCCTCGAAGACGCCCAAGATGACCTCCAAGATGGCCCTGGAGCACCCCAAGAGGGCCCCTAAGTCCTCCTCCTCCTCCTCCTCCTCCTCCTCCTCCTCCTTTCCTGATCTTCCCCGCCATCCGCCCCAAAAAGTTCCCCGAAGGGTTTCTAAAAGGGCTGGGGGAACACATGGCCCGATAGCTTGGCAGAGCTCTTGCCACAGCGCTCGGCCACATTGGCGATTCCAAAAGGCAGGGGGCGGCGGTGATTCGCCGTAGGCGTCTTCGATAACGCCAACGTCTCAACATGCGCTGTTGATTCCTATCCGCCCCGCATGATGTTCCCAGATGCGCCAATGCAGCGCCGAGACGCACCGACACGACTGTGATATATCCCATTATGATAGAGAGGGAGCCGGCGGCAGGGGGCGAAACCCTGACGGATAGAGAAAAACCGTCCGCCGTGACTTTTTTATGACTCGAGAGCGTGTGGGAAAGGGGGTCTGGTGTGGTTCCCCCCACCTCCCGCTCGGGACATGTGGGGCAACGATAGGGGGGGGACTGGCGTAGGGGGGATGCATCGACCTGTAATCGCCGATACATCGCCGATAGATCGGCGATAGGCCCCAGATAGTGAATCCGAACCTTCCTTGGCAGGTTGGGGCTATCGGGCTCCGATTGGCGATCAATGGGCGATTGGGTGTCGATGCATCCCCCCCTATGCGTATCCCCCCCTACTGAGGACATCTGCGACCCCCAGCCGGGGGAGGCGAGCCTCTTCGCCGGAGGTGGCGCCCTCCTGGCATGGGGGGGGACCTGATCAGGAGGGGACCTGCATGGGGGGGGACCTGATCAGGAGGGTACGTCAGGTTCGTGTCGTGCCGACTTCGACGTTGGTTTCTGACACCGCGGGGATCGTTCAGCCTTGAACGATCGGCCGTTTCCGAAACGTCCAAATCATTCCACATCGAACGATTCTGGGTGGCCCGCGGCGTTCACCGTTGAACACGTCTGGCGGGGTCGCCGCCGGTCGACACGACACGAACCTACCGGCTACCGTAAACATCGCCGACAGATCGGTGAGACGGAAGGCGGAGCCGAGAGATCGTGACAACGACGGGCCGAGATGTGCTGCTGGCGATTCCCGAGATCTGGCGATGCCGAAGGATGCATCGGGCGCCGCGGCCGCTCCAGAGCGCAGCAGAGCACTCTGAGAGCGCTCGCGGACGCTCTGCGGCGAGACAGCCCGGCCCTGGGCCCGCCCGCATCGGGTCAGGTCGGGCGTGTCCCCCACAGGTGGATTTTGGAAGAACACCCCAAAATAGTCCAACCAGATTCGAAGAAGATCAAAAGAGTCGAGGGATTGTCCCCGTACTAGTTTTGAACTGTTCCTGAACATTCCTCCTGTCAGAGGGACGTGCCCGACTTCAGCATAGTAGGCCCCCAGGCGAGAAGGAACCTTCCCGGGAAGGGTCTGGGGCACCCGGGCCCCGTTCGGCCACGAAGGGGCGCTTGGGGGTCGAGGATTCGAAGCGTCTCCCCCTGAGCCTAGCCCCCCCCCCCCCCGAGCCTACTCCCCCCCCCTGAGCCTACTCACCCTGAGCCTACTCCCCTCTGAGCCTACTCCCCCCCTGCTCGAGGGATCGAGGGATCGAGCTGTGAGGGCCGACGACCGGAGAGCAAGGCGACACCACTAATTACCACCACCAGGGGTGCCACCTCCAGCGAGGAGGTCCAGGCTGCCTCCCCGAGCTGGAGCGGGGAGGGGGGTGAGAGGAGGAAAAGGCACCCATGCCGCTACTCCAAATCTCATATTAATCGTCCCCCGGGTCCGGTTTTTTAAGGCGCCTTTTTTTGTAACTGGGGGTGTCCGGTTCATTAGGGCGCTTTCCCTGGATTGGAGCTTCGGGGGTCCGGTTTATTGAGGCGCCCCGTCGAAGAGGGGGGTCCGGAATATTGGGTCGCATTCGGAGGGGGGTTCCGGTTTTTTAGGGGGGGGTCGATTAAGAAGGGATTTGGAGTGGTCCCCACCCCTGACGTTGCCCGCCCCTGAGGAGGCGGGGCCGCACGGGCGCTCGGCCTCGGCATGTTCCCAGCGCCGGTGGCGTCGTTGTACCGCAGCAGCTGCCTGTGCAGCAATGCGTGGAGGCCCCGCCCAGGCCGCGGGGGGGGCAGCGCAAAGTGTGGCCAGCGGGTCGCTCGGAGGCTCGGATCGGCCGAGAGGTGCACGGCTTTCCCGGGGCCGTGGGCGACCCGAGGAGGAGGAGGAGGAGGAGGAGGAGGAGGAGGAGGAGGAGGAGGAGGAGGAAAGGAGGAGGAGGAGGAGGAGGAGGAGGAGGAAAGAGGAGGAGGAGGAGGAGGAAAGAGGAGGAGGAGGAGGAAAGAGGAGGAAAGAGGAGGAGGAGGAGGAGGAGGAGGAGGAGGAGGAGGAGGAGGAGGAGGAGGAGGAGCAGGAGCAGGAGGAGGAGGAGGAGGAGGAGAGAAGGAGGAGGACGGGTCGCCTACGCCCTTCGGAGAAACCCTCCACCGCGAGGGGCCCGAGGCCCGGGGCGGCCCTCGGGCGTGCGCGCTCGGCGGCTCTGCGGCGTGCCCGGGTGCTGCCAAGCCGCCACGCCTCGCCGAGCGCGCTCCGGGGGCGCCCGGGCTCGCCCCGGACACCCGCGCGGGGCCCCCTAGGGAGCCCACAAAGGACGTACGCGCCCAGCTATGTACATGAACACGGCCCCTCGATTCGCGAGACGGGCCGCGTTATACGAACATTTGTGCAACACGTGGTCTCGAAACCAGCGTGGATTCATGTACATGTACGTCCTTCTTTCGCTCCTGACCCCCGACATCCGACGATGTCGTTTTTTTTTTTAAGTGTCGGGGGCGGCCAAGAGGGGGGCGGCCAAGAGGGGGGGGGGGGGGCGCACAGCATGGCCGGCGGCACGTGCGCGGCCCAGGGGGGGGGGGCCAGGGATGCAGTGGAAGAGGAAGAGGCGCTGTGAAATCGGAGGAAATATGATGGCCCAGGCCATGATATCCATCCCCCCAGTCATCACCCTCCTCTTTGCCGCCCCCGACAGTGCGAGATCCCAGCACCTTCCCTCGGGGTAGTTTTTTAGTGATCCCCGATCCAGTTTTGATGGTGCCGTGGCTGAGCAGTTGGCCCCAGAGGACGAACTCGCAGGGAGCGCGCGAGCTGAGAAAACAAAAGTCGCCGAAGATCTGGGGGCCGATCCATGACCGGGCGCATGGGTTTCAAGGAACGTGGGCTTGAGCTTCGCTCTGGAAGTGGGGCGGGGCCGTGTCCCGTTTTCGGGTGGGGTCCCTGGTCTCCTCCTCTTTCTCCTTCTCCTCCTCCTCTTCCTCCTCCTTCTCCTCCTCCTGCTCCTCCTCTTTCTCCTCCTCCTCCTCCTCCTCCTCTGGCTCAGACGCCCCCCCTGCCGGCGCAGAAGGCGAACTGGAAGGCTCTCTGCATGGGGTCGGGCTCTCCCCCCCGGGGAGGTCTGGGCAGCTGGAGGGTCCGAAGGGCGCTACAGAACCGGTGCGGAAACGGCTCGGAACCAGCAACAAACTATGATCCGACACAGGGGTCCACGTTCGCGGGTTGTTGAAGGTGTCACTGGCGCAAGGTGCCCCCAGCTTGTCGCTCCATTTTGGAGCCCCTGGGCCCTTTGGGCCTCGTGATGGGTGCTGCCGGGACCGTGGGGGCCTCCTTGGAAATCCTCGGGGCACCTCGCGCCAGGGGCACTTCTCGCACCACCCGGCACGTGGGGAGGTCAGGAACGGTAACAGAACGGTAGGTCGGCGAACTGGGCAGCAGTCGAAGGCGAGGGCCTCGAGGAGACCTTGGGGCACACGACGGACATGGCTTCGGAAAGCGGGGAGGGGGAGGCATCGGAGCCTCAGTGCGCCGACGGCAGTGCCGGTGACGACTCAGCCGGGCATGGTGCTGGCTCCAGCTCCGAATAGAACGGGTAAGACCGTGCGCGAGCGCGACAGAGAGGAAAACGCAAACGAAACCCACAGAGAACACTTGGCAGCCGGAAGCGGTGAACAACGGCGTCGGGTACCAGTCGGAAGCGACACCAATAACGACAAACAACGGCGACGGAAACGGCAAAAAAGTTCAAGAACCCGTAAACGGTCACCAAAATAATGCCCTCCCGTTTCCAGGGCCAACTAATGTCTCAACCGTGCTCGACGACGCCCAGGACCGCGGCGATGGCGGCCATGGCGGCGAGGAGATGCACGGAGATGGTGACGGTGGCGACAGCAATGGTGGCGGCGCTGACGATGGTGGCGATGATGAATGACGAGGTTTAGATGCTCGTCCTGGGAACCTTCTTTTAGCCACTCGCTCCACTCGTGCGTCGAAGCTGCGTCACACATCCGTCGACTCGAGCCGAACCGGAGTCGAACTTGAGTCGAACCTGAGTTGAACCTGAGTCGAACCTGGGTCGAACTTGAGTCGAACTTGAGTCGAACTGGAGTCGAACAGATCCACCAGGTGGGCCCCAGAAAGATCCCCAAAACGAGCATCGAACGAGGTTGCTGGCGGCGGTGACGGCGGCGGGGATGTCGGAGATGGTGGCTGCCAGCGGTAGGCGGCGGTCGACGGCGACGGCGGGGCGATGCGGGCGAGTCGCGGCTTCGCGTGGCCGGAACCGCAGGCTCCAGAGCGGGGCAGTAGGCCGCCCACATGTAATCCCACCAGCCCCGTGGGCGGAGGTGGTCTAACGAGTCCTGCCCTTCTTCTTCCAAACATTCTCTTCCAGTCGGGGATGTTTACCTCCCCCCCTCCCTCCCTGCGGTTTTTTGCGGGGCTTCGCGGAGTGTCAGGGCGCCCAGGACGGCTCAAGATAGCTCCAAGAGGGCGTCCGATGCTCGAAGATGGCCTCCAAGATGGCTCCAGATAGCCGCCGGTGACTCAAGATAGCTTCAGACATACGTCCAAGAAGACCGACGAGGGGTTCCTAGTGCTCTCGGAGCGCACTCGGGGTCTACCCGAGGGGCCCAAATCCTTCACACATCGTACAGAAATCAAGGATGTGTGGCTGTTTCGCTTCGGATGCGCTTTTGAGTTGAGGCTTCAAGACGGCCCCAATATGGCCCAAGAGAAGCCCAAGAGGGGCCAAAGAGGATCCCCAGACGGCCCCAAGAGCACCCAAGAGCGGCCCAAGAGTGCATCAAGAGGGCCCCAAGAGACGATTTGGATGATCCCAGGGAGGGGCAAGGCAAATTGGGGCCCCCCCTTTTGATCGATGGCCTCCAAGATGACCCCAAGAGGCCCTCCAGGATTCCCAAGGGACCCCCAAGAGAGCTCCAAGAAACGCCCAAGAGGGCCCCAAGAGACCCAAAAAGAGCCTCAAGAGGAAACCCAACCCCCAAAAGAGTCCAAAGAGGGCAGCAATATGCGATTTTGAAGGCTATGTCCTCGTCCTCGTTGTCCTCTTCCTCCTCCTCCTCCTCCTCCTCCTCTTCCTCCTCCTCCTCCTCCTCGTCCTTGCCCTCATCGTCTTCGCTTTCCTTTTCGTTCTCATACTCGCCGTCGTGGCCGTCGTCGTCGTCGTCGTCGACCTCATCCTCCTCCTTCCCTCGCCCCCACGCGGGCTCAGCGATGGCCTGAAGATGCCCTCCAAGGTCGCGCCGATTGCTCCCAGAAATCAATATGATCACCCTGGTGTCCTGCTTTGGGTCACTACATGTGTCTCGTCCTCTCATTTCCCGTCGGTTGTCATGGGCGGAATGTCTGGTGAGGGTACGCGACTCGTAAATCATCTAGTATTGTTAATCGATCCTGGAGTATCGGGCTTCGCTTCGGATATCCTCAAGAAGGAGCAATTTCCAGAGCGGCTTCCGGCGGTTTCCCGTAGGAGTCATGCAGCTTCCGCAGTTTGCGTCACATTTCCCTTACGTTGTTGCACGCACGCGCCCAGCGCAAACGCAATGGTTTCGTCCGAGACGTCTCACCCGCGTGCCGATATCAGCTCAGGCTCGTGCCGATTTCGCATTAAACTCATAAAGCCCCCGCGGTTCCACTAGATTTAGGTCGGGCATGCCCCCCTACAGGGGGATTTCTGACGAAAACTAAAAACTTGTTAAACGAATACCCCAAACTTATCAAACATGGTTAAAGAATCGTCCCCAGACTATGTTTTAAAATATGTTTGACTACTCCCCCTGTAGAGGGACAGCCCGACTTAATACTAGATTCCTGTTGCGCTTTCCCGCGGACCTTACAGCAGATCATCTTCACTATTGCGTCGTGCGTCCTCGCCGGATGCAGGGCTCGCGACCGCTGCGCTGCGCTCCCTGAAGGGACTCGCTCGCCGCCGTGGGGCCATAAGCAACGCGCTGTCACAACAAACGCACGAAGCCTCCCGTCTGCAGAAGCCCACAGAAGCCCAAAAGGTAGGTCGGGCATGTCCCCCTACAGGCGGATTGTGGACGAAGATAGAAACAAGTCAAGAAAATACTCCAACAAGATTTCGAAATTGTCAAAAATTGTCCCTGACTATTTTTTAAAAATTATTTTTGGATATTCATCCTACGTGGCCCCCAAGAGGTTTCTCAGAGGCCCCCACATGGTGCAACAGCCTGGCCCGCCTCTGCCAAACGTTTGGCCACATAGGCGGCTCCAGGAGGCAGGGCGCGGTGGTGGTTCGCCGCAGGCGTCTTCGATGGGAGGGCCATGTCTCGCTCCCCAGATCTCCAGCGACCTGATCGCTTCAACGCCGGCGCTTCTCCTCGGCTTCGGCCTCACATGCCCGTCATCGGGCCCCCAGGGCCACCAGAAATGGGCCCCGAGACGAAGAGCTGCCCCCCAAGGGGGGAGGGGCCGGGAACCTCTGCGGCCGCGCTTGGACCCCCGAGTGCATCGCCGAGTGCCTGCGTATGGGCTTGCTGCAGGGCGTCGCGGCCCGGAGCCGCCCGCAGACGCAGGAGCCGCTGGCGACTGCGGGGGAAACGATCGGGGGGGGGCTCAGGGGGCGGGAGGGGGGGGTAACATCGAGCTAGAATTCGAAATGCAACGCCGATAGATCGGCGATGTGGCCTGTTCCAGACCCCCGACGTCATGATTTTTTCATGCCCCGACACCCAGATGTCTTGACCTGTTCCCCGGGACGGGCTTTTCATCCTGAGTGGTTTTTTGACGGTCCCGAGGGCCGGTGAGGGCCCCCAGAAGCAGAAAATAGCGAAAAAACTCCCGTCGTGATTTTTCCATGACCCAAGGGGGTGTGGGGATAGATCGGCGACGTGGCCGATTCTTGAACCCCTGAACCAAAACATGTTGCCATCTCTTGGGGGCAAACAAACGAAAGATTGCAAAAAAACAAAAGATTGCAAAAAAACCCGAAAGATGGCAAAAAAAAACCGAAAGATTGCAAAACAAAACCCGAAATATTGCACAAAAAAAAAACGAAAGATTGCAATATTTCGTTTTTTTTGCAATCTTTCGTTTTTTTTGTGTCATCTTTCGTTTTTTTTTGCAATCTTTCGGTTTTGTTTTGCAATCTTTCGTTTTTTGCAATCTTTCGTTTTTTTCTCCCGCCAGCTCCTGCCTGCCTTGTGCCAGCGCTTCTGCCCGCGGAGCCACCCCTTTTTTTTGTTGTTCTCTGCCTCCGGCCTTCTGTCGGCCTGCCGCCGAGGAAGGGACCACAACTCTTTCGACCCTCGAAGGCGAGGCCCTCTCTGGAACGGCACATACACCACGCGAAATGGTTAAGAAATCATGGGTTAAGAAATTCATGGTCTCAGAACTTGAATAAGAACCCAAAATTTCTATCAAAATCTTAAGATTTACATTTAAACGTTAAGAATAATCGAGACTCTGGCCGAAACTTTAAGTTTTCTTAAGCATGTGGATCTCGGAAGCCCTGAACCCAAAAAACGTTTTCATCTCGTGGAAGCGGATGTTTTACTTTCGACGCCTTCCGCCGAGATTCCGCTGGCTTCTGTTGGCGGAGGCGGCCTCGTTTCGCTTCCGCCGCCCTTCCACCGCGGAAGAGATGGCAACTCCTTCTACCCTCGGAGGCAAAGCACTTGTTGAAACGCCCCGGATAAAAACCGCACGCTTCCGGCTGGGGGGGGGCCTGCATCAGCTCCCTTATTAATCGTCCCCTGGGTCCGGTTTTTTAAGGCGCCTTTGTTGTATCTGGTTCAGGGGGTCTGGTTTATGGGCGGAGGTACCGCGCCTTTTAAGGCGCGGGATCTGGAGGGGGTCTGGTTTACTAGGGCGCCTCCCTTGGATTGGAGCTTCGGGGGTCCGGTTCATCAAGGCGCCCCGTCGAAGAGGGGGGTCCGGAATATTAGAGGTCGCATTTGGAGGGGGGGGTCGGTTTTTTAGGGAGGGATTTGGAGTATCAGGACCCCTTCGGCGATGGATAAGCGACAGCGTGCCGATGCCTCCCCCCCCGGAGGAGGAGGAGGATGAGGATGAGGAGGAGGAGGAGGAGGAGGAGGAGGAGGGAGAGGAGGAGGAGGACTCACTGAGCCCATCCGCCCCCCCAACGTCGCCTCTTGGCTCTTGGGTCATAGCTCGGCTCTCCGGCTGCCGCTCGGGGCGATCCTGGGCCCCCCGGAGCGCCCGCGGCGAAGCGCAGCCGCTGGAGCGCACCCCGAGGCTGCGCAACCACGCAGAGCCGACGAAGACGCCCAGAGACCGGTGACCTCCTCCTCCCCCCTCTCCTCCTCCTCCTCCTCCTCCTCCTCCTCCTCCTCCTCCTCCTCCTCCCCCTCCTCCTCTCCAACTCCTCCTCCTCCTCCTCCTCCCCCTCCTCCTCCTCCTCCTGCACGTCCTCCTCCCCCTCCTCCTCCTCCTCCTCCTCCTCCTTCTCCTTCTACTCCTCCTCCTCGAGCTGGTCGCCCCGAGAACCTGTCCCCCCGCACGTGGCCCGTGGGACGGCAGGGGCCCCCGGCCATGCCGCCCCCCCCCCGCCAGCCGCCGCCTCGGGACCATGAGCTCGCCCCAGTTCCTCCAGAGGCGGCAGGGCCACCAGAGTCCTGCGGCCCCCGCCCCCGCGGGAAGGCGGCGGCCCCCCGTCCTCCCCCCAGACCTCCGACCTCGCGCTTCTGTTTTACAGCGTGGCCCCCCGCTTGGATCACTCCGGTGGTTGATGGGGATAGAAGGAGGGTCCCAAGTGGATGCCAGGGTGGCTTATAAGTGTGTGTATGCATGCACACACCTGTGGCCTCACGTGGCTTTGGAAGCGGGCTTGAAGAGCCCTGAGTGGCTGAGGGAGGGAGGGGAAGAGAAACGGACGAAGTGGATTCCACCCTTTCAGCGGGGCTATCGGACCCACGCAAGCCACTTCGAGAACATGTAGCCCACTTAGAAGCTAGGTTCGGCCAGATCCAACAAACCTCAGTATCCACTTATACCCCCCACCAAAGCCTCTAGCAGCTTCCGCGGTGATCCAGGCAGACATCCGACGTGTTTGTTGGCTGCTGTTGGGTTGTTTCGCAACTTGGCTCCACAAAAGGTTTGGAGCCCCTCCGAAGGATCGGCATTTCATCCTGAGCTGTTGTTTGACAATCTATGGGCCCAGGGATTGCCCCCTGGAGGCAGAACGTAGCTAAACGTCTTCTGTTGTGGCTTCTGCAGAACGAGACGATGTCAGGGCCGGCGGAGCAAGCTCCCTCCGTCCCTCCTCACTCACTCCCTGCTCCCTCCCTCCCTCGCTCCTCCCACCATCCCTCCTCCGTCCCCCCTCCTCCTCCCCCTCCCTCCCTCCCTCCCTCCCTCCTCCCTCCTCCTCCCTTCTTCCTCCCTCCCTCCCTCCTTCCTTCCTTCTCATCCCTCTGCCACTCCTGGCACAGGCATGAGCCTTCGGCGGCCCGCGCGGCGCCCCCCGCTCGGCGCCGGCGCTTCCCGACCCGGGCGCGTGCCGGCAACGGCAACGACATGGCCCAAGACGGGCCAGCCGGCCCGGTTTCCTACAGCACAGACAAGAGCCCCCAAAGTGCAAGCACTGCTTGGAGAACATCTGCATCCGCCGGCCCCCCTCGTGGGGCCACCAGGCTACAGGACGAAGTGCGCTGCTCCCTGCACCAGTGGCAGTTTCAAGTCTCCCATCTGCTTCCTACTGTAAATTGTTAAAGTCCCGCGCGAGGGGAGGGAGCTCCAAAGGACCCAGTTACCACGCCCGGATCGCGAGCTCTGAATTCCCGGGGGGAGCGTGTGGCACGCAAACATACATTATCTGGACGAAAGAAACAACTACATGCAATACCGCAATTGTGAATATGTTCTTCGGTGGAGCTCCCTATGGGGCCAAGAAGCGCTGCACTCGGTGGGGGGGACGCATGCGGGCGGTAGCACTGGGGCCGTCGGTGGAGCTCCCAATGGGGCCACGAAGCGCTGCACTGTGTGTGGACGCATGCGGGCGGTAGCACTGGGGCCGTCGGTGGAGCTCCCTATGGGGTCACGAAACGCTGTACTGGGTGGGGGAGACGCATGCGGGCGGTAGCACTGGGGCCTTCGGTGGAGCTCCCTATGGGCCCACGACACACTGTACTGGGTGGGGAGACGCATGCGGGCGGTAACAATGGGACCTTCGGTGGAACTTCGTATGGGGCCACGAAGCGCCGTACTGGGCGGGGGAGACGCATGCGGGCGGTAGCGCTGGGACCGTCGGTGGAGCTCCCTACGGGGCCACAAAGCGTTGTACTGGTTGGGGGGGGGGACGCATGCGGGCGGTAGCACTGGGGCCGTCGGTGGTGCTCCCTGTGGGGCCACGAAGCGCTGTACTGGGTCGGGGGGACGCATGCGGACAGTAGCACTGGGACCTTCGGTGGAGCTCCCTATGGGGTCACGAAGCGCTGTACTGGGTGGGGGGGGCGCATGCGGGCGGTAGCACTGGGGCCGTCGGTGGAGCTCCCTATGGGGCCACGAATCGCTGCACTGGGTGGAGGGGACGCATGCGGGCAGTAGCACTGGTGCCGTCGGTGGAACTCCCTATGGGGCCACGAAACGTGTGAGGGGTGTGCTGAGACGGGTGATGACGATGATGATGATGATGCTGATGATGATGATGCTGCTGATGTTGATGGTACTGATGATGATGCTGATGATGATGATGATGATGACGATGATGAGGATGCTGATGATGATGATGATGATGATGATGATGATGATGAATCTGATCATATCATGAGAAGAGGAGGGAGGGGGCAGCGGGAGGAGTGAACGCGGGGTGGTGTCTCTTCAAAACAAGGACCCAATATTACAGGATGGTTGGGAATGAGACTCGAGTCCCCGAAGCCATAAGCCTTTGTAACTTACGCAACGTTCGCGTCCTCAAAACTGCCTCCAAGAGGCCCCCGAGAGGCCCCCCCCCGAGATCCCAACGAACATCCAATAGGCTTTGCACCCACAACCCAGGCACGATAGCGGGATGGGTCGAAGACCAGTAGATACCAATGTCAAAAGAGAAAACCGTTCCTTGAACAACATCTCCGCGCAAGTGCTGTTCCAAAATACGTATCCGTAAGACCTCGAGCTCCGCTGTTTTGAATAGGTTGCTCAACAGGTGTCATGACACAGCTTGGAATAATATATTCTGCCTTACCTCGTATACTAAGCCGCGCTGCATGCTGAGAGGCCTCCTCGATTGGATCTGAGTAGATGGGGTTGGAGGATCCCGCCGCGTCGCCAATGCATCTCCGATGCATCGGCGACGCATCGGCGGTGCACCGTCGACTTCGGCGATTCATCGGCGAAGTCGGCGTAGAGAAAATCCGGCTGCGAGCCGCATCGCCGATGCATCGACGATGCGGCGCGATCCTCCGACCCCATCTACTCGGATCCCAACGAGGAGGCCTAGATTGTTCAAGGGCCTGCGGGCACATACCAAAGTCCATTCTGGCGAAGGGCCCGCCCTCATGCGCCAGCCGAGGGGTCTGCGAGCAGGCGCCCCGACGACGGAACCCACCGACCCCTCGGCGGCAGTCCGCCGCCGCGGGTGCCGAACTTCTTGGAGCGGCGGCGCATGCGGAGGAGGTCGCCGTGCGTCAAGCGGTAGCAGGCGAAGGCGGAGAGCAGGGAGAGATCGTGCGCCAGGGAGTAGCGGACGTGGTAAACCTGCGGAGCCGGACCGGTCAGATCTGGACGCCGCAAGCAAAGATCGCGACGGCCAGACGTTTCTGCTACAGTCCTCGGGCTCTGGAGGCCGCTCCCCAGCCACGGGACCGCCAAGAACACCTAAGGACCAAGAGCTGGCGACGGGGTCGAGATTCCCTGGCCCCCACGTGCGATGTGGGTCGGAACGGAGGGAGAGGGAACGCATCGGGAAGGGCTCCAGAGAGCCCTGGTGGCCTCGTGTGACCTCCCTAGCAACCATCGCATACCTCCGCGGACTGCCAGGGACCTCTGGAATACTTGAATGACCGCGGGGGGGAGGGGGGGAGAAGGAGAGGTTAAGGTGGGCTGTATCTGCTCTAGCCAAGCTTATAGGTGGATCACCGAATCCATTAGCTATATTACACAAGCGGACACAACACGCCAACGAAAGGTCGTAGGCCTGAGGTGATCCATCCACGCCTGGCCACAGGTTACAAGTGCCAGAAGTGGTCAACTAGTGAACTGGCGAACCACAACCACGCGTGCTCAGCACATCCCGCCAGCCCTTCAGGGCGTGATTGGTTTAGCGGGTTTTGTTCTTTCACCCCCCTTCTTCCCTTAGGGAGGGCTTGCCCGGTACAGGGACCAATCCTGGCGAACTGGTACAAATCCAGACCGCCTGGGGCCAATCCCAGCTGCGTGTCGTTGCGACTGGGGCCAACCCCCGCTTCTCGTACAAATCTACTATACAGCATATATATATATATATATATATATATATATATACTAGAACCATCGCGCGCGCTTCGCGCGCGCTCAGGTTCTAGCCCAGGCCGGGGGGGCGCTGGACGATCTTGGACAACGCTATCAAGCACAGGCGCGCGACGGCATCTGAGGAGCTTCTGGGGTGTTCCGCATGCTTCGTCAACTGGCTGTTGGAGGCACCTCTTGGGTGCCTCTTGGGGGGGCGTCTGAGGGTCCCTTGGGGGCATCGGTTCTGCAATCTGAAGCCGTCATTGGCCGTCTTGGCTGCGTGGAGGCCCGACTTGAGGCCACCTGCGGCCAGATTGAGGCAATCCGGAAGCCTCCCGGGGGCCTCCTGGAAGCAGTTTTGATGCATTTGGGGCACTCTCGGGCTATTTTGAAACCTCTTGGACGCCTCCCAGGGGTCTTTTGGGCCCTCGGGGAGCTTTTGGGGTCCTCGTCGGACCACTTGGGGGCCTCTTGCAGCCTCCTGTGGGCCTTGTGGGGGAACCGCTCTGCTGTTGGGTCGCGTTCCACTTCTTGGGCCTCTCTTGGGGCTCTTGGGGCCCTCTCGGGCCGTCTTGGGCGCCTCAAGCACCGTCTTGGGGCCCTCGCGGGCCGTCTTGGGGCCCTCTTGGAGGCCTCTTCCTCTATGTGGGAGCGGTGTTGGAAGCCTTTGGGGCCGTCTTGGAGCATCGGGATGCCAAAAGGCAGAAAAAAAACGTCAAAGCCCAATCCTAAAACAATGAGTTGTGCCTCTTGGGGCCACCTTGGGAGATCTCTTGGAGCCTTGTCGGCCCTATTGGGAGCTTCTTGGGGGCCTCTTGGATCCGATTGGGGGCCTCTTGGGACTTCCCGAGAACCTCTCGGGGTAGAAAGCTCGGATTCTCGGTTCATGTTTCCCTTCTTGGGCCTCTCTTGGGGCCGTCTTGGGGCCCTCTCGGGCCGTCTTGGGCGCCTCAGGCACCGCCTTGGGGCCCTCGTGGGCCGCCTAGGGCCCTCTTGGAAGCCTCTTCGGCTATCTTGGAGCTGTCTGGGAGGCCTCTTCCTCCTCCTCGTCCCCCTCCTCCTCCTCCCACTCCAGCTCTCTCTCCTCCTGATCTTCCTCCTCCTCCTGCAGCGTGTTCCGGAAGGCTCCCGCCGGAACATGCTGTGCACAAGTGCTGTCACTGCTCCCGCCACCGTGCCCTGGGTGGTGGGTCAGAGGCCTCATGGGTGTTGCTTTGGATCTCGTGGTTGGCCTGTCGGGGACGTCGTGAAGGCAGTTTCGCAGCTTCTCGGTAGCCGTTTTGGGACCGTTGTGGGGCCTCCTCGGGCTGCTTTGTGGCCTCTTTAGGCCTCGTTTGGGCCTCCTGGGTGCCTCTTGGGGGCCTCCTGGGGCCTCTTGGGGGCTCCTTGGGGCCTCCTGGGGCACTCTTCAAGCGGGAGGGTCGAATTTTGGAGTCGTGGTCCCCCTCCTGGGCGCATCTTGGGGCCGTCTTGGGGCTCTGTTGGGCTGTCTTGGGCGACTCTGGGGCCGTCTTGGGGCCCTCTTGGGCCGTCTCGGGGCGCTCTTGGGGGCCTATTGAGCCGTCGTGGAACGTCGGACAGCCGAAAAGGCTGGAACGCCAAAATCGTTCGAAAACCTTCGTAAACTTGACGATTTCGGCCTCTGGAAGCGCTCTGGAGAGGCGTCTTGAAGCGTCGTGGAGTGCCTTGGGGGGTCTCTCGGGCCGTCTTGGGCCTATCTTGGGCGTCCTGGAGCGGTCTTTCGGCGACTCGGGGCCCGCTTGGGCCGTCTTGGGAGCCTCTGGAGGCCCTCCTGAACTATTTTGGACCTCCCCGGCCGCCCCTCCTCCCATGGGGGGTCGGAGGCGGCGCCCTCCGAGGCCCAGGACGCGGAAACCCTTTTAAAAACAAAGGGAAAATGAGCCCCAGTACCCCCGTGGAGGCTTTTCGGCGCTCTTGGACCGATGGGAGCTCGAAAACGCGAGAAGCCAAAAACATTGAAAATAATATTGAACATATACGATTTTGGCCTCTCCGGGCCGTACCGCGATACCTATCAGACTTCTTGGGGTCTCTTGGAGGCCACCTGGGAGCCTCGAGAGCCGTCGGAAGGCTGCCTTGGGCTGCTCGGGAGCGTCTTGGGCCATCCTTTCGCATTCTGGGGGCTCCTAGCTAGGGCGCGTCTTGGGCCCTCCTGGAGCGCTGTGGAGGCTGCCCAGAAAGGCTGGGGCAGCAGTACCGGGAGCGTTCCCGAGATGTGGCCATATCTTTTCAGCGCGTTCCAGGAGCATCTTCCCGGAACGCGCTCGTGGCAGGGCGCCCACGTCCGAGGACGTTGGCATGGGAAACCGCAGCGCGTGATCATTCCAGCGCGTTCCGGCGAAGACCGTCCGGAACGCGCTTGGGCAAGCGCTGGGTTTGAGTAAGGCGAGTGGGAACCGTTCAGGCAGTTTGGGATGCTCGGGGCAAGAGGCGGAAGCCATCCTCAGAAGACATGCAGTCTTCCTGGAGCCGTCTTGCAGAAAACAAAAAAAATGAGACCCTGCAGTCGTTCCTGGAGCCGTCTTGGAGCCCTCTTGGGCTGCCCTGGAGCCTGTTGGAGCCCTCTGCGAAATGGTCTTGGAGCCCGCGCCGAGGATCTGGAAAATGTCCGGGACCATCGCGGCGGCCTCCGAGGCCCGGGACGCCGAACCCCCGTGAAAACATAGCGAAAATGAGCCCCGGTACTCGCATGGAGGGTCGGGCAGCTGTTTTCGGGCCCCTGGGTTAGAACCATCGCGCGCGCTTCGCGCGCGCTCAGGTTCTAGCCCAGGCCGTGGGGGCGCTGGACGATCTTGGACAACGCTATCAAGCACAGGCGCGCGACGGCATCTGAGGATCTTCTGGGGTGTTCCGCATGCTTCGTCAACTGGCTGTTGGAGGCACCTCTTGGGTGCTTCTTGGGGGGGCGTCTGAGGGCCCCTTGGGGGCATCGGTTCTGCAATCTGAAGCCGTCATTGGCCGTCTTGGCTGCGTGGAGGCCCGACTTGAGGCCACCTGCGGCCAGATTGAGGCAATCCGGAAGCCTCCCAGGGGCCTCCTGGAAGCAGTTTTGACGCATCGAGGGCACTCTTGGGCTATTTGAAAGCCTCTTGGACGTCTCCTGGTGGCCTTTTAGGCCCTCGGGGAAGCTTTTGGGGTCCTCGTCGGACCACTTGGGGGCCTCTTGCGGCCTCCTGTGGGCCTTGTGGGGGGACCGCTCTGCTGTTGGGTCGCGTTCCCCTTCTTGGGCCTCTCTTGGGGCTCTTGGGGCCCTCTCGGGCCGTCTTGGGCGCCTCAAGCACCGTCTTGGGGCCCTCGCGGGCCGTCTTGGGGCCCTCTTGGAGGCCTCTTCCTCTATATGGGAGCGGTATTGGAAGCCTCTTGGGCCGTCTTGGAGCATCGGGATGCCAAAAGGCAGAAAAAAAACGTCAAAGCCCAATCGTAAAACAATGTGTTGTGCCTCTTGGGGCCACCTTGGGAGATCTCTTGGAACCTCGTCGGCCCTCTTGGGAGCTTCTTGGGGGCCTCTTGGATCCGATTGGGGGCCTCTTGGGACTTCCCGAGACCCTCTCGGGGTAGAAAGCTCGGATTCTCGGTTCGTGTTTCCCTTCTTGGGCCTCTCTTGGGGCCGTCTTGGGGCCCTCTCCCGCTGCGCCGCACAGGGCCCTGGGCGGTCGGCTCCGCCTGGGGCCCCACAGCCGCCGTGCACGAGCGTGGCGACGAGCCCGGGGGGGGGGAGTAAGGAGGAGGGGGCCCTCTCAGAAGGCGGCGGGGCTTCTCCGAAGCCCTCTAGGCTGCTGAAAAGGGTCTCCCGTGCGGAGAAGGCTCAGGACACTCCTCCAGAGGCCGCGGGGCTCCCGAGCCTTCTGAGAAGGCCCGCCCTGGACGGTTTCCCCAGGGGCCGTAGGCGACCCGAGGAGGGGGAGGGCGAGGAGGGGGAGAAGGCGGAGGAGGAGGAGGAGGAGGAGGAGGAGGACCAGTGTAAACCCAAGAGTCATCAACGATGTTGGAATTAACGCTCCCTCCAAGCTCCCTCTTCATAGGCCCCTACAACGGCTCATTTCCATTGAGGGAACTGCCTCGTTGGAAGACAACCATTGGAAAATCCTGAAGCATGCCAAAACACTGCTCTCGGGATTTCAATGCCGCGTATCATCCTGACTGCTGCGTTTGAGCGATCCGGAATCGTGCCATAAGGATTTCAACGACGCGAGTCAACATAACTGTTGCACCCGCATCATCCTGAATCCTTCCGAAACGCCGTTTTTGGTACGTTGATCACTGATCATGGGAATCCGTGAAACTCTTGCATTTTTTTTAATACGCGGCGCTGAAGCGAGAACCGCATGTTGAAACGGAACTGCCCTCAAGCCGTGAAACTCTTGCAAAGTTGAAAAACGAATGTGCGCGGCGCTGATGCGAGAGCCACGTTTTGAAAACGACCCGCCCTCAATCCGTGAAACTCTTGCAAAATTGAAAAACGAATGTGCGCGGCGCTAATGCGAGAACCACATTTTGAAAACGACCCGCCCTCAATCCGTGAAACTCTTGCTAATGTTGGAAACGAATTTGCGCGGCGATAAGTCGAGAGCCACATTTTGAAAACTACCCGCCCTCCATCTGTGAAACTATTGTCACTTCTTAGGCTTCATAATCGTAAATGGTGAGGAAGTCTTATGCGAAACGCCCGGCCCGCCCTAAAAACTGGCCTCGGGGTGCGACAGGGAGGAGTTATCTATAAGGACAAGGAATGGAGGAGGAGGAGGAGGAGGAGGAGGAGGAGGAGGAGGAGGAGGAGGGAGGAGGAGGAGGAGGAGGAAGGGGAGGGGAGGAGGAGGGAGGAGGAGAAGAGGAGGAGGAGGAGGAGGAGAGGAGGAGGAGGAGGAGGAGCGGAGGAGGAGGAGGAGGAGGAGGAGGAGGTGGAGGAGGAGGAGGAGGGGAGGAGGAGGAGGAGGGAGGAAGGAGGAGGAGGAGGAGGAGGAGGAGGAGGAGGAGGCGGGAGGAGGAGGGAGGAGGAGGAGGAGGAGGAGGAGGAGGAGGAGGAGGAGGAGGAGGAGGAGGAGGAGGATGGGTCGCATAAGCCCTTCGGAGAAACCCTCCACAGGCAGGTGCCCGCGCCGCCGTGCACGAGCAGCCTGGTGCGGGTCCGGCGCGGCGGCAGCCCCTGCCGGGCCATGGCTCGGACGCCCATTTCCCCTGCATGTTTGGACTTCGTGCGCGTTTTTCCCCACGACGATCCAGGATGCTCCTCGATGGTCCTCGCCGAGGAAAAAACGCACACACGTCCGAGCGATGCCAAGATGCCAGCTCGCGTGCCGGGTGCCGGGTGTTGCTGAAGGTGCCCCTGGCCCAGGGTGTCCCGAGCTTTGCGCCTCATTTCAGAATCCCATGAGGCTCTCTGGGCCAAGTGAGGGGTGCTCTGGAGGCCTCCTTCGAAGTCCCGCGCACGCCTGGGGCAAGGGACACTCCTCTGGCAAGCCCCGACCACAATGCAAGGGAGGCTGCGACCGCGCACGAGCAGGCGGCTCCACTTTCATCGCTGCCTCCTGCGCCTCCGCACCAACGAGCTCTGATGGGCTCGTTTTCCACCACAACCACCATAAGTTGGAGGGGGAGGGGCCTCCTCCTCCTCCTCCTCCTCCACCACCTCCTCCTCCTCTTCGTCCTCCTCCTCCTCCTCCTCGTCCTCCTACTCCTTCCCCCCTCCAGCTTGTGGTCGTGGTGGTGCAAAACAGGCCCACTACACTTTCCTCGCCGCCTCCTGCGCCTCCGCGCCAACGAGCTCGGCGCCGGCTCGGTGGCCCAGCGGCGGCAAGATCGGCCTGTGGTGGCCCACCTAGTCCCCGTTACCTCTCGCGAGGACGACAGGAGAAGGAGGAGGAGGAGGAAGAGGAGGAGGAGGAGGAAAAAGGGGGAGGAGGAGGAGGAGGGAGAAGGAGGAGGAGGAGGAGGAGGAGGAGGAGGAGGAGGAGGAAGAGGAGGAGGAGGAGGAGGAGGAGGAGGCGAGGCGGCCGCTCCTCGGCTGATCCCTCCCCTCAGGCCGCTGCTGCCCCGCCGCCGGCCACGGGGTCGCCGAGGTCCCATCCGCGCCACCATATGTAGCTCTTGTGCTGGAGCGGCCTGGCACGCCAGAGCGCCGCCCCCGCCCATCTGTGCATCGCGCACCCGGCCGCCCGGGCCGCCTGCTCCACCGCGGCATGGGCCTCGCAGCCGACGCCACTGCTGCGCTCGGAGGCCAGACTCACCGCCTCCCCAGGGCGGGAAGATCGGTTCCCCAAGCGGTGGATATGCATGAATCCCGGCCTCGTGGGAAGGGCGGAGACTCTTCGAGCGTGTTTGTTTGGCTGAGCCCTGTTCCCTGGGAGTGGGCCTCGACCTCGGTCGCTGGGATCACATCGACCAGGCCAGCGAGGGGGAGACGGACAGACAGACGTACAGACAGACGGACGACGGAACGACACCTATTCTGGGCAGCGCCTGGCCCTGCTCGGTGTGTGGGCGGATGGCACCGCAGAGCTTGAGATGGACTCCTTCACAGGAATTTGCACGCGGACACTTACCTCAAGGCCTTTTCCACCGATCTCCGTAGCAAGCTTGCCTCCAGACTTTTTTCCATATCTCTTTCATCGACAAGGCGAGCGAGGAAGGAGGAGTGGCATCGGCACTGGTGGCGCGTCGGCTGCCTTCTGCAGCGAGCTGTTAAGCTGCTCGTAGGCACTCTTGTCTGCCTCGCGAGGAGGGGACGCTGTGTTCTTCCTCCACTTCCTCGTCATCGTCTTCGTCCTCGTCCTCGTCCACCTTCTCCTCCTCCCCCTCCTCCTCCTCCTCCTCCTCCTCGCATCGTCCCCTCCTCGTTTCCTCGATGAGGAAGATGAGGAAGAGAAGGAGGAGGAGGAGGAGGAGGAGGACCTCGATTTCCGACGCCGTGTGTGGTTCGGTACGTGGCCCCTGGAGCCGCTGACTCGTCCCAAGGGGCCAACTCTTTATCCAGGATCTTTGTTCGTAAGTGTTCTGAGGCTCGGCAGCTGTACCCAGGCGCGGACTACTGAAACACAGACAGCGCTGTTCTGTTTTCCAAATCTTGAAACAAACGCCCACGCTGTCGGTTTTCAATGCTCTTCACTTGGTCTCTGACGTCGCAGGGGCCCGAAACTCTCCACGACGGGGGTGTTCGCGGACGAGGCCTCACGTGGAGGACAGCCGGAATGTGGCCGAAGACTTGAGCGCCTGGCCATTCCCGCACTGCTGGTGTCATCTGCACGCGCCCTCTGGCATGCGCCAGCAGGGAGAGGACCCCTCCTCTTTCTCCTCCTCCTCCTCCTCCTCCTCCTCCTCCTCCTCCTCCTCCTCCTCCTCCTTCTCAACTCCTCCGCTTCCTCCTCTTCCATTCCGTGTCCTTATACATAATTTCTCACTGTCGCACCCCGAGGCCTGTTTTTCAAGGCGGGCCGTGCGTTTCGCTTGAGACGTCCTCACCATTTATGACCCTGCAGCTTTAAACACGACAATCGTTTCCATGATTGGGTGCGGGTCGTCTTCAAAATGTGGCTCCGCACACATTCGTTTGAACAAAGTGCAAGAGCTTTACGGATTGAGGGTGGGTGATTTTCAGAATGTGGCTCTCGTCTCAGCGCCGCGCACAATCGTTTCAAGAATGTGCGAGAGTTTCACGGATTGAGGGCGGCTTCTTTTCAAAATGTGGCTCGCGCATGAGCGCCGCGTACACTCGCATGAAAAACTTTGAAGGGGCCCTGGGACACACAAATATATACACACAAATAACAGGATTCACTATGTTTTCCCATATTGTCTGGGTTTTTGTTTGCCCCGCACTTCCGATATTTTACCATATATTCTGGCGACTCGACGATGACTTGTGTCTGTGTTTTTCCCCCTCCTGAAACTTGCAAGAGGTCTCACGGATTGAGGCGGGTGGTATACAAAATATGGCTCGCCTCAGCGCCGCGCACATTCAGTGTAAACATTGTGAGGGTTTCGCGGGTTGAAGGCGGGTCGTTTTCAACATGTGTCTCTCGCTGAGCGCCGCGCACATTCGTTTTGAAAAATCACAAGAGCTTCAAGGGTTGAGGGCGGGTGGTTTTCAAAATGTCGCTCTCGGCTTAGCGCCGCGCACATTCGTTGTAACACTTTGCAAGAGCTTCACGGATTGAGGGCGGTTGCTTGTCAACATGTGGCTCCCACCTTAGCGACGCGCACATTCTTTTGAACAAAGTTGCAAGGGTTTCGCGGATTGACGGCGGGTCCGTCTCAACATGCCTCTCGCCGTAGCGCCGCGCACACTCGCTTTAAACATTCGCCGGAGTTTTACGGATTCCCATGATCAACGTACCAAGAATGGTGTTGCTGGACGGATTCAGGATTATGAGGGTGCAACAGTTACATTGGTTCGCTGTGCTGAGGTCTCAGGAATGGTGCTCTGGCAAGATTCAAGGTCGTCAAGGCACAACAGTCAGGTTGATCCGTGGCGTTGGAATCCCGATATCATTGTTTTGGCATGCTTCTGGGTCTTCAAACGGATGCCTTCCAACGAGGCAGGTCCTTCAGTGAAATGAGCTGTTGAGGGGCCTATGAAGAGGTAGCTTGGGAGAGGGTCTATTCCAACATCTTGAATGAATCTTGGGTGTCCACTGGTCCTCCTCCTCCTCCTATAATCTTCTGTATGAAAAAAGTTTCCCTGCCGCATCCCGAAGCCAGTTTTTGGGCGGGCCTGGGCGTTTCGCCTGAGACACCTTCACCATTTATGAATATGAAGCTTGAACAGCGGCAGCAGTTTCACAGGTGGAGCGCGGGTCCTGTTCAAAATGTGGTTCTAGCTTGAACGCCGCGCAAATTTGTTTGAACAATTTACAAGAGCTTCACGGATCGAGGGCGGGTCGTTTTCAAAATGCGGCTCTCGCCTTAGCGCCGCGCACAACCGTATCAGAAATTACAAGAGCTTCACGGATTGAGGGCGGGTCGTTTTCAAAATGTGGCTCTCGCCCCAGCGCCGCGCGCATTCGCCTTTAACATTCGCAAGAAGCTTCACGGATTGAGGGCGGGTGGTTTCCAGAATGTCGCTCTCGCCGTAGCGCCGCGCACATTCGTTGTAAAACGGTGCGAGGGTTTCACGGATTCACGGCTGCTCCTTTTCAAAAAGTGGCTCCCGCCTTAGCGCCGCGCCAATTCGTTTGAACAAAAGGCAACAAAATTCACGGATTGAAAGATTCAGGATTGCGCGGGTGCAACCGTTATGTTGATTCGCGGTGTTGGAATAAAAAAACGCGTTCTGGCATGATTCAGGAACGTCAAAACGCAGCAGTCAGGTTGATCCGTGGCGTTGAGCTCCCGAAACAATGGTTTGGCATGCTTCAGGGTATTCAAACGGTTGCCTTCCAACGAGGCAATTCCTTCAATGGAAATGAGCCGTTGTAGGGGGAGCTTGGAGAGAGGGTTAATTCCATCACCGTTGATGACTCTTGACTTTATCAGGCCAGGAGAAAGGGGGGGAATGCAAAGGGGGGGGTTCAGAATCAACTCACGTGCTGATTTTCCCGGCGCCTCCCGGCGCCAGGAGGCGCCCGTGTACCGAGGAATGGGCCCGGCGGCGGGGCCGAAACCAGCTGCACGCAGCGAATTTCGTAATCACCCCGTTCCCAATCCCCCCCTTTCGTTTGGCCTGGTCCTCCTCCTCCTCCTCCTCCTCCTCCTCCTGCTCCTGCTCCTCCTCCTCTTCCTCCTCCTCCTCCTCCTCCTCCTCGCTTTCCTCCTCTTACTGACTCCTCGTCCGCATCGCCACCTCCTCCTCCTCCCTCCTCCTCCTCCTCCTCCTCCTCCTCCTCCTCCTCGTTCGCCTCCTGCTCCTCCTCCTCCTCCTCCTCCTCCTCCTCCTCCTCCTCCTGCTCACCTCAATTATTGACTCCTCATCCGCCTCGCCACCTCCTCCTCCTCTACCTCCTCCTCCTCCTCCTCCTGCTCTCCTCCTCCTCTTACTGGCTCCTCATCCAACTCGCCACCTCCTCCTCACCTGCCTCCTCCTCCTCCAGCCTCCTCTCCTCTCCTCCTCCTCCCCTCCTCCTCCTCCTTCCTCCTCACCCTCCTCCTTCTCTCCTCCTCCTCCTCCTCCTCCCTCCTCCTCCCTCCCTCCTCCCTCCTCCTCCTCCTCCTTCCTCCTCCTCTTTATCCTACTCCTCATCCTACTCCTCATCCTTCATCCTGGACCCGCCAAGGGGCTCTCCAGAGCCGCCTGGGCATCCCCATGCCCCCCCCCCCCGAAAGCTCCCAGAAGACATCTCCTTGTTGTCGGCACTTCCCGCCCCTGGAGGTCGGTTTCGGGCCCCAGGACCCTCCCCAAATAGCTCAGGATGAGAAACTGGCTCTGGGAAGTGGGCACGCATCGAGCAAACCGAAGCGCCGGGGGTCTGGGCACGCGCACGCGCGCAGCACACGAGCCCCCAATGATCGAAGCGCGCCGCAACTCCCTGACCTTCCCGAAAGCTCAAGGGCCCTCCAGACTCCAGACCTAACTACCAGGAGCGCTGAAATCCTCGACTGCGACTGACATTCAAAGGCCCTGGTGCTTGCAATGGCGGGCTCCGGGATCCCCTGATCCAGCGAAGTTCCGCCAGCTTCTGGCGGTGGAGGCGTACTCGTTTTGCTTCAGCCGCCATTCCGCCGCCATACCGTTAGGTCCGGCGTGTCCCCCCACAGGCGGATTGTGGAGGAAAGGTACAAAATAATCAAAAAATATTCAAACATAGTCAACACATGGTCAAAACATCGTCCCTGGATTAGTTTTTTGGTGTGACAATTTTTGAATATTCCTCCTGTAGCTCCTGTACAAGAACAAGCCCGACTTAACCACGCCGCCGAGAAAGATGTCTCAACGCCCAGATCCCGGAGAGAGGCCCTCAAGGGAGACCGCGGACCTCCTCGCGGCTTCCCTCTGCGCGGGGCTCCGGGAGCTCAATCGAAAGCCTTAGGAGGCAACTCCCGGGAGATCTTCGCGAGAACGACGAAGGGCTCCTCCTCCTCATCATCCTCATCCTCCTCCTCCTCCTCCTCCTCCTTCTCCTCCTTCTCCTCCTCCTCCTGCTCCTCCTCCTGCTCCTCCTCCTCCCCCTCCTCCTCCTCCTCCTCCTCCTCCTCCTCCGCCTCCTCCTCCTCCTCTCCTCCTCCTCCCTCCTCCCCCTCCTACTGGACCCGATTGGAAATGCCATTTGGCCTGGCTGAGGCAAAGGGAGCCCGGGATTGAGGCGATGCCCGATGAAGCAGGCTCTTGACCCCGAATCTGCCAGCGCGCACCACACTGCACTCGTGCCTCCGAGCAGGAAGGAAGCCGCCCTGGTGTGGATGAAGGGGCCCTGGGACGCACAAATAAATACACACAAATAACAGAATTCCCCATACGTTCCCATATGTTATATGTGTTTGTCTTCCCCCCCATTTACTATATTTTCCCATCTTTTCCTGGGGATCCACGATTAATTGTGTCTGTGTTTTTTTTGTCCCTCCTGAGTGGAGCCGGTGATTGGGAAGGAGATGCCTCGGCGAGGAAGAGGGCAGCGCTGCGCAGCGCCGCGGTGCTCTCCACCCTTTTTTTTCTCGGGGCCGCAGATCTGTGTTGCGATCTCGCTCGCCGGGCCCACAACTGGGCATCGTTCGGACGTCCATTCCCTGTGTTTTTTTCGGTTTCGTGCGTGGCTTTTTCGCCAAATGATCAAGGATGCTCCTCGATGGTCCTCGCCGAAGGAAACATGCACACGTCCGAGCGATGCCAAGATAACCTCTGTCTCAGACGCTTGTGCTGCCAACTGCTTCTGGCAACCTCCTCCTCCACCTCCTCCGCCTGCCAGCGTCGAAGCTGAACCTCACCTCCCAGGCCCTGCATCCCGAGGAGCCCTGGCCGTGAGCCTCGTGCCGCGTGCTGCGCTCTCTCACGGATTCGGGGACCGCGGGACCGCCGTGGAAGCCCCGCCGCCCCACGTGGTTCGGCGTTGCACCTGGAGGAGGAGGAGGAGGAGGAGGAGGAGGAGGAGGAGGAGGACAAGTGTAAACCCAAGAGTCATCAACGATGTTGGAATAAACCCACCCTCCAAACTCCCTCTTCATAGGCCCCATACAACGGTTCATTTCCATTGCTGGAACTGCCTCGTTGGAAGGCACCCGTTTGAAGACCCTGAAGCATGCTAAAACATTGTTCTCGGGATTCCAACGCCACGGATCAACCCGACTATTGTGTCTTGACGAGCCTGAATCGTGCCAGGACGCCATTGTTCGGACTTCAACACAGAGAACGAACGTAACTGTTGTACCGGCATAGTCCTGAAACCTTCCAGAACGCCATTTCGGATACGTTGACGATGGGAGTCTGTGAAACTCTTGCAAAAGGTTTAAAACGAACGTGCGCGGCGCTGAGGCGAGAGCCACATTTTGAAAACCATTCGCCCTCAATCCGTGAAACTCTTGCAACTGTAAAGCGAGAACCACAGCTTGAAAGCCACTTACCCTCAATCCGTGAAACTCTTGCAAATGTTCAAAACGGATGTGCGCCGCGCTCAGGCGAGAACCACATGTTAAAAACCACTCGCCCTCAATCCGCGAAGCTCTTGCAACATTTTACAACGAATGTACGCCGCGCTGAGGCGAGAGCCACATCTTCAGAAAGACCCGCCCTCAATCCGTGAATCTCCTGCGAATTCTTAAAACGAATATGCGCCGCGCTAAGGCGAGAACCACACTGTGACAACCACTCGCCCTCGATCCGTGAAACTCTTGCGGATTTTCAAAACGAATGTGCGCCGCGCAAAGGCGAGAGCCACCTTTTGAAAACGACCCGCCCTCCATCTGCGAAGCTGATGCCAATCTCTAAGCTTCCCAATCATACATGGTGAGGAAGTCTCAGACGAAACCGCCCGGCCCGCCCTTAAAAAATGCCTATAAGGAAAAGTTAAAAGGAAGTGACTTATAAGGAAAAGTAATAAAAGGAGGAGGAGGAGGAGGAGGAGGAGGAGGAGGAGGGGGAGGAGGAGGAGGAGGAGGAGGAGGAGGAGGAGGAGGAGGAGGGAGGAGGAGGAGGAGCTCACCTAGCGCACCTCCCAGGCCTTGCATCCCGAGGAGCCCTGGCCGTGAGCCTCGTGCCGCGTGCTGCGCTCTCTCACGGCCTCGGGGGCCGCAAGACCGCCGGGGAAGCCCCACCGCCCCACGTGGTTCGGCGTTGCACCTGGAGGAGGAGGAGGAGGAGGAGGAGGAGGAGGAGGAGGAGGAGGAGGAGGATTTCCAGGATTTCCGCCATCACGTAGTGATAAAAGGCTGAGCTCAGCACTTGGGAAACAGGTCGCGATCGATTCGATTCAAATACTCGCGCCTGGCCTTGGTGATTAGGTGGGGGCGACAAGGATTACCTAAGCCCCTGAGCTGGGCCTGACCGAAAAATCCGCACGACCCACAAAACCATAATCCAAGGTCTTTGTGATACCGAAGGGCGTGTGAGGGATGCGTCCAGCCACCTGCCAAGTGTAAACTCCGTCCTAGGGGGGCTCGGGACAACCTTGCATTCACGAGGAGGAGGACGAGGAGGAGGACGAGGAGAAGGAGGAGGAGGAGGAGGAGGAGGAGGAAGAGGAGGAGGAGGAGGGAGGAGGAGGGAGGGAGGGAAGGAGCGAGGAGAAGGAGGAGAAGCCCGATCCGTTGTTGACGGTTCTGGGTCCCAGAAGCGGCCGCTGGAGACCGAAACAGCCCCGAGGCCTGCTCGAACCCAGCACCTCGAGCCGCGCCTCTCCCTGCTGGCTGGAACTGGTGCTGGGCCACCACGGTTCCCTGGCCAGCTACTAGCTGCGAGTGGGCCTCGACTTGCGGAAGTCGAGGGCCCACGTCACGAAACATAAGCGTGACGTCGGAGGCTGGAAGTCACGACATCGAAACGCGCCTCCTCCTCCTCCTCCTCTTCTTCCTCTTCCTCTTCCCCCTCCTCCTCCTCCTCCTCCTCCTCCTCCTCCTCCCCTCCCTCTCCTCCTTCCCCTCCTCCTCCTCTTCCTCCCCTCCTCCTTCCTCCTTCCTCTCCGCCTCCTCCCTCGGGACCCCCTCCCTCGACCCCCTGCTGGGACGGATGGCGGGAAAACAAGGTGGAGCCCGGCGCGGCCGCAGCCGCGGCCTCCGTCAGCCCGTCCTCGCCAAGCGCGATCGTCTTCGCCTGCTCGTACAGCCTTCCATGCAGCTTCACACCGGGGGGGGTCCTCCTTATTCCTCCTTCAGGTCCTCCTCCTCCTCCTCCTCCTCCTCCTCCTCATTCCTCGTCTCCTGCTCCATCTCCCTCAGCTCCTCCTTCCTCTTCCTCCTTCCCTCTCCTCATCATCCTTCTCCTCGTCCTCCTCCTCTCGTTCTCCTCCTCCTCCTCCTCTCCTCCTCTCCCCTCTCCTCCTCCTCCTCTCCTCCTACTTCCTCTTTCCCTTATCACGGTGGGCATGGGCTCACACTCAGCCGTCACAGCAGAGCAAAGGTTGAAAGGCCCCTCCTCCTCCTCCTCCTCCTCTTCCTCTCCTCATACTCCTCCTCCTCTCCTCCTCCTCTCTCCTCCTCCTCCTCCTCCTCCTCCTCCTCCTCCTCCTCCATATTCTGCTCCTCCTCATCATCACGATCACCGTCCTCACCACCATCCTCGTCACTGCCACCATCGCCATCACGCCCACCACCATCATCTTCATCCTTACCCTCGTCCTCACCGCCATCAGTACCTCTTACCCCTTGGCCCTCATCCATCCCTCGGCGTCCCGACAGGCAGCGCGGGCCGCCTCACGAATTCGGGGCCTTCGATTGCTGCTTGTAACGGCACCCGCGAACGCGGGTGCTGCTTTGGACGAGCAGCCGCTCGGCGCGCCGCTCGCGCCGCCCGGGGGCTCCCGCGCCTCCGAGCCCTCACGCCCGTCCTACAGCCGAGCTGCACCATAGGGAACGCTAAATGTAGAGGAACAGTGAAAGACATAGACATAAACTGTCGGAGCTCCGCGAGGATTTCTTGGAGCGGCGCTGGGCCCACCTGGCGGCGCCTCTGGCGCCGCCCCTGGCGAGCTCCGCGCGCCTGGGGGGGGAGTCTGGCGCCGATCCCAGAGATCCGCGCGGAACTCCGAGCGTTTCTGCTTATGCCGCTCTGTTCTGGAAAAAAAGAAAAGCGAAGCCCCGAACCTGGGCCTCAATAGATGCGCCTGAGCGCTTCTCGTGCAGAGCGGCAACCGCACCTCTTCGTCCTCCTCCTCCTCCTCCTCCTCCTCCTCCTCTTCCTCCTCCTCCTCCTCCTCCTCCTCCTCCTCCTCCTCCTCCTCTGGACAGAGGGACGGCGCCCACTCCAATTTGGGTGGAGGAAGGCGCGGGGTATGTAGGCGTGCTCCTCGGGCGGAGACGCCACGTGCCCCCCCTGCATGACTGGCACGACGGAGGGGTCAAAGCTGCCCCGGCAGCTTCCTGCTAGTGTCTGGCATGCAGAGTGTGAATTCCCATACTATACCGGCCGATTGCACAAGTGTGCTCTTTCGCGGGGCGCGGCGCGGCCAGACGGCCGCGCCCCGAATTCTGGATGCCGAGGGCGCCCGTTGGAGGCAGCCAAAGGGTCTGAACTGTTTGGGTCGGGAAGGCGGGATAGAGCCAAATCCTATGAGAATCGGTCCCCGGCCCTCTCCTGGGGTCCATCTTCACCCCTGATCAATGTTTTAGGGCCCCGGGGCCCGAAACCGGCACCTGGAGGCCAAAACGAAAACAAACACCTTTCCCAAACCCAGGACCTCGAATCCGCCCGCCTCCCCTGCTGGTCAGAGCCAGCGCTGAGCCACGTCAGACCCCCAGATGGAACCAACGCCCAGGTCGGAATGACGACTTTTGTTTTGGGGGCAACGTTGAGGAGGAGAAGGAGGAGGAGGGGGAGGAGGAGGAGGAGGAGGAGGAGGAGGAGGAGGAGGAGGAGGAGGGAGGAGGAGGAAGAGGAGGAGGAGGAAGAGGGAGAGGACGAGGAGGAGGTAGGCTCAGGGAGGGCTCCAACGCCCGGGCACCCAGCAGGCCATCAGGCGAACTCGAGCTCGGAGTCCTCCGCCTGCACCATCGGGCGCGCCGATGGCGGCGGGCCGGTGCCCGCCCCGGCCGGCCCGCGTCGCCCCCGCCGCAGCCACGCCCGCGCCGCGAACGCCAGGACCGCGAGCCCGGGCAGGCAGAGGAGCGCCTCCGGACGAGGGGCAACGATCGGGGGGGGCTGGTACCCTGACCTTCCAGGAGGGCTAAAAAATAGCACCAGGACCTCGATATCTTAATTCCCGTCGAGGTTTTAGGCAGCCCAGATAGGTCTATAGGTCTGGAGGGCTATTTTTTAGCACTCTGGAAGGTCAGGGCATTTAGGGGGGAAGCCGTCGACCTGGAATCGGCGACACCTCGCCGCCAGATCGGCGATGGGCCCCCGATGGCGAGTCCGCACGCTCCTGGGCAGGTTGGGGCCATCGGGCGCTTCTCGGGGATCCATGGGCGCTTGGGGGTCGACGCACCCCCCCTATGCCTACCACCCGCCCCCCCCGTTATCGTTGCCCCTGGCCCGAGCCTGGGGCGGCCCGCGCCGCTGGCCCTGCCCAGCGACCGCTCCGAGGCGGCCGCCGAACTTGCCCTGCAGCTCGGAGGCCGAGCCGGCCCCGCGCGGCGTCCCGACCACCTCTCGGCGGCGAGCCCCGGGGGGAAGCGAGATATGCCACAGAAAGATATACACCGACACCCTCCGACGAAGTTTGCGTGCACCCTGCAAGGAGGGCGTATCAAGTCGCTCGCTCTCAGTGGTGACTTATACACCGGCACTCTCTCCTTTTGCCCAGGAACAATAGAAGCCTCATAGATGGGGTCGGAGTAGAGGGGGTCGGAAGATCGCGACGTATCGCCGATACATCGGCGATGCATCGGCGATGCATCGGCGATGCATCGGCGATGCACCGGCGATGCATCGCTGACGTCGGCGATGCATCGGCGACGTCGACGTGAAGCAAAGCAGGTTGCGCATCGAGCCGCATCGGCGATGCATCGGCGATGCGGCGCGACCCTCCGACCCCATCTACTCCGACCCCATCTAGGAGGCCTAGAATTCGCCGGCCCAACGGGCCAGAGGCGTGCTAAGATCTCTGGTAACTGGTAAACAGTATTTCTGGTTCGCGCGCGCGGGGCGGCCCCTGGGGGTCCCTGGATCAAAAGTACCCCAGGCGGAGCCCGGGACACGCCCGGGACACGCCCGGGACACTCCCCCAGATCCTCCAGGATCGCCCCAAGAGGGCCCCAAGAGGCCCCCAACACAATCCAAGAGAGGTCCGAGACGCCCGAGGATCGCTCCACGGCGCCCAAGATGGCCTCCAGACGGCCCAAGAGGTCTCCAAGATGACCCAACAAGCCTCCAAGATGCCCCAAGAGGCCTCCAGGAGCACTCCCAAGAGGGCCCCAAGAGGCAAAAATCAATATTTTTTCTTTGGTTTTGGACAGATTTGGGCGTTTCAACCTTTTCGGTTCTCCGACGCCCCTAAACGGCTCAAGAGGCCTCCAAGATCGCCCCAAGAGGGCCCAAGAGGCCCCCAAGAGGGCTCCAAGATGGCCCAAGACGGCTCCAAGACGGCCCCAGAGGCCTCCAAGACGGCCCAAGAGGGCCCCAAGAACGCCCCCAACACGGTCCAAGCGAGGTCCGAGACGCCCGAAGATCGCTCCATGGCGCCCAAGATGGCCTCCAGACGGCCCAAGACGTCGCCAAGATGGCCCAAGAAGCCTCCAAGATGCCCCAAGAGGCCTCCAAGAGAACTCCCAAGAGGGCCCCAAGAGGCAACAAACTGTGTTTTTCCTTTGGTTTTGGACAGATTTGGGCGTTTTAACCTTTTCGGTTCCCCGACGCCCCTAAACGGCTCAAGAGGCCTCCAAGATCGCCCCAAGAGGGCCCAAGAGGCCCCCAAGAGGCCCCCAAGAGGGCCCAAGACGGCTCCAAGACGGGCCCAGAGGCCTCCAGGACGGCCCAAGAGGGCCGCAAGCACGCCCCAAACACGGTCCAAGAGAGGTCCGAGACGCCCGAATATCGCTCCACGACGCCCAAGATGGCCTCCAGACGGCCCAAGACGTCTCCAAGCTGACCCAAGAAGCCTCCAAGATCCCCAGGAGCTCTCCAAAAGCATTCCCAAGAGGGCCCCAAGAGGCAAACAAACAATGCTTTCCCATAGGTTTTGGACAGATTTGGGCGTTTCAACCTTTTCGGTTCCCAGACGCCCCTAAACGGCTCAAGAGGCCTCCAAGATCGCCCCAAGAGGGCCCAAGAGGCCCCCAAGAGGGCTCCAAGATGGCCCAAGACGGCTCCAAGACGGCCCAAGAGGCCTCCAAGACGGCCCAAGAGGGCCCCAAGAACGCTTCAAGAACGCCCCAAGAGGGGGTTCACGAAACAGAATTTCGAGCTCTCGGCCCTTAGAGGCCCCCGGGAGGCCCCAAGACGCCCTCAAAGGCCCCAAGAGGCCCCCAAGAGGCCCTCAAGAGGCCTCAAGAGGCCTCCAAAAGGCCCTCTGGAGGCCTCCAAAAAACCCTCAGGAGGCCCCCAGGACGCCTCCAAGACTCCAGCCAGACGCGACGTGGGAAACGCGGGTCGGGGTGGTCCTCCTCCCCCGCGTTCGGCCTCCAGCCTCGAGCCTCGACCCTCGACGACGACGACGGCGACGCCGGCGGGCGGCGGCGGCGGGCGGCGGGCGGCGGCGGCGGCGACGACGACGACAAAGGCGCTCCTCATCGCTCCTCATCCCCCTCCTTCCTCCTCCTCCTCCTCCTCCTCTTCCTCCTCCTCCTCCTCGTCGTCGTCGTCGTCCTCCTCCTCCTCCTCCTCCTCCGGTCCAATTAGAAAAGAGATGGTATGAGAGACGCCACAAGAAAGTGTTCCTTCACGCCCGTGTCCGCAACGCCAGAGGACATCAGGACGATAACAGAGCCAATGTTAGCATTCAAAGCCCGCCACCCTCCGACACGAGGGTTCCCCTATCGCATAAGATGTCTCTTCCCCCGGCTCGAACGGCCCCACAGCGGGATACCACGGGTAACACACCCCCACGATGGCACCAAAGCCATCAAAAAACTGAAAAACCTCGAAGACACAGAACAGAAAACTGAAAGCCTGAAAAGCCTGAAAAGCCTGAAAGCCGTACCAGCAAACACCTAGAAGCCCCATGGAAAAATATTAACAAATTTATCGACAACTACACAGCTCCCAACGCCGCAGCTCCACACTGCAAACGACCACTCGGACAGGCGACCACGGTGCGACATTATGGGCCGGCGGAATGAGCGACGCGATTAAATAACAATCCATTGGAGGGTGTCTGTGTATGTGTGTGTGTGTAAGTTTGTGGCGGACGAGAGGGCGCAGGCCTTCGGCAGAGGGCGGCGGGGCTTCTCGGGCAGCCCAGCGGGCCTCCCCCGAAGCCTTTGGTGGGCGGGCCAGGAGGGCTGCTGGGAGAGGCCCCGGCGCCTCCCGAGCAGGCCGGCCCCCTGCCCTGACCTCCTCGCGCTGTGCACGAAGCACAGCGCGAGGCTTCTCACTGTGCTCGGCCTCCTCTGGGGGCTCTTTTTTCCCGGGCCTCGGGGCCGTCCAACAAAAAACACGACTCGGGAGGAGAAACGGGCCCCCGGGGCAGGGAGATGATACCTCTGGGGGTCGACGCTGTGAACAAAAATCAGGACGTCGGGGGTCTGGGCTTAGGTCAGGCGCGTCCCCCTACAGGCGGATTGTGGACGAAAAATACAAGATACCCCAAACATGCTCAAGCATACTCTGAAACAGTCCAACAAAAATAGTCCCCAGAAGATGTTGTAAACTATGTTTGCACATTCCTCCTCCAGACGGACAGGCCCGACTTGCGTCTGGGCCTCGCTTCCCACTCTGGGCTGATGATGTTCCAAACCTGCCTCAGCCTCGATCACCAGAAAGAATCTCGAGCACCCAGAGAGTGCCGAAACTCGACGGCCTTCACGCGTCGGGCCCCGGGAGGCGACGCTGCCTCGACACCTTCCGGGGCGCTCGACATGATTCCATGGGGTGTGGCCCTTCAAAAAAGGGGGCGGGAGCAAGGATTGCAAAAAAACCCTGGATTGCAAAAAACCCTTGGACGAAGGATTGCAAAAAAACCCTGGATTGCAAAAAAAACCCTGGTGTTTTTTGCAATCCTTCGAGCAAGGGTTTTTTTGCAATCCTGGGCACCCTGGGCTGGCCCTCGCGCCTCGGCTTCCACCTCCTCCGCTCCGAGCCGCACGGTCGCCCGCCCGGAGCGCGGGGGCGCGTGGCTGGTGGTGAACGTCCGGGGGGCCTCGGCCCCGCACCACCGGGCGAGGGGCCCGCACCGGCCGCAGCCGCCCTCCGAGGCGGCGCACCCCGAGCCCTCGGGCGCGCGCGCGAACGCGGGGCAGGAGCCTCGGGAAGAGCGCACCGAGACGCCCTGTCTCCACGGGCCTCTCTCCCGGGGTGCGTGCCGACCCGAACTTCGGGGCGGAAACATCCAGCCGTGGCGAGCCGAGTGCCTCCTGCAGGACTCCTGGGAGACCCTGGCTGGCTGGGCCGCCTGGGCCGGGAGGCCCGGAGAGAAGGCGGGCCGCGGTGTCGGTGTGCCTCTCTTCCTCCCCTGCGCGAGCCGCAGTAGTCGAACGGGTTGGGGGCCGCCAGGCAGCAGAAGCCCTCCGGCCCGGTGGGTTGCGGCCCGGGCGCGGGCTCGGAGGTGGGCGCACTGGTCTGGGCCGCCGTCGGCCTCGGCGTGGGCTCTGCGGTGGGCACCGGCGTGGGCGACGCCGTCGGCGGCAGCGCGGGCGCCACCCCCACCGAGAAGTTGGAGAACCTTGCGAGCAAGACTCTTATCCACATCCACTGCGGCTTGGAGTTGCGGGCTCCCTTCCTCCGCTACCAGAGGCGCCGTGGATATGGACAGGACAATTCCGCCCCTAGAGGTCAGATGTTTGTCCATATCCACTGCCCCGCAGCCTGTTGGCGTCCCTTCCCAGAAAGTCCGAGACGCAGTGGATATGGATACAAATCGTGCCCGCAAACCTGACGGACTCCGCGCAGCGGTCGGGGCGGTCTCTCTTGCAGGCGCCGAGCTTGTCCTGGTGAGCCGACTTTCCACTACCGCCGCTATGAGTCAGCGGCGGCTGACCCATGGCATGCTTCGCTGTGCGAGGCACCGACCGCCCCCAGCAAACATCTATCATAGGTCAGCTGCCCATTACCCAAAGTGGTGGCAGTGCAAGACAAGCCCACGATGTCCTTCCCCTGGCCGTCCATCCACAGCATGTCGTCGGCGCTCCAGTAGCTCACGATCGGAGTCATGCCCGCTCGGAGGGCCTCCGTCAGCTCAGGCATGCCGGCGTACGCCGCCGTGAGCGTGGAGAGCGGGCAGGACTTGCCCTCCTGCGACAGCGTCACCACCATCGCGGCGAGGCTGCCGTCGGCGTCCACGGGGAAGGCGGCGTCCACGTCGAACGGCCGCCTCGTGTCGATACAGGCACCACCTGGCGAGTACTGCGAGGCGTTCCAGTCGCGCGGCCCGCTCCACTCTGCGGCGCCGCCCCCGAAGCCGCCTCCGACGCCGTTTGGGTCGTCCTGGCCGTGCAGCGTGGAGTGCCACGAGTGCATGTTGGCCTCCTGGATGTCGATCTCGGCGCACGCAACGCCGCAGACGCTGTTGGCGTCGCAGTAGTAGTCCGAACACGTGGAGGCATTCTTGTTCTGCCGCATGGAGGTCAAATACAGGGCCGCGTTGCACCCGCACCCAGCGCCGGAGAGGTCGACGGTGTACCGAAGCGAGAAGCCGAGCAGGTTGAGCGCCATGTAGCCGTCGTTGCTGTAGGACCCAGCCGTGCAGCTCATGGCAAAGTACGCCCGGGCACCCATGCTGGCACTGATCGTGCTGTGGTTGGCAACGTGCACCGGCACGGGGCCGTACTCCGAGCCCCACCCAGTCGGCACGATGTGCGCAGGCAGGTCGGACAGGCCGTCGCTGCCGATCTGCACCACGCCGGGGCACTTGGGCTCTGGGATCAAGCTGGCGGCGGTGCTCGTGGAAGTCGCGCGGGTGGTGCTGCTATTGACGGCCGCGCGGGTAGTGCTGGTCTGAGAGGCCAGGGCAATGGTGCTCATCTTGGAGGCCGCGCTGGTGGTGCTTAGCTCCGGAGCCCCGCTGGTGCTGCCTTTGAGGGCCGCGCGGGTAGTGCTAGTCTCAGAGGCCCCGACGGTGGTGCTCATCTTGGAGGCCGCGCTGGTTGGGCTTGGCTTCGGGGACCTGCTGGTGGTGGTCGTGGGGGCAGCGGTCGTGCTACCAGCACCTCCGTGCTCGGCTTCTACTTCACCTCCGAGTGCGTCGCTGACAGAAGAAACGTTGCACCACCTGGCTGCACCGCCGCAATTCTCGCAGGCATGCTGGGATTCGCCGCAGCGGCTGTCTCCCTGTACCATGGCGTTCGGGAAACATGTGCCGCAGAAGTCGCCGCCGCCCTCCTCCGCCGCGAGGCAGCAGAAGCCAGTGGCGCCAGTGGGGGAGTCTTTCACTGCACGGGTCATGTTGCTGACCGGGGACTTGCGCTGCTCTATAGCGCTTCTCGCGGTGGAGCACCACGTGGACATGCCCCCGCAGCTGTCGCAACCATCCGCAGACGCGCCGCAGTGGCTGGATCGCTCTGCCCTCGCGTTCTCGAAGCACGTGCCGCAGACGTCGGAGGCCTCAGACGCAGCCAGGCAGCAGAACGAGCCGTCGGAAACGTCCGCGCGATCACTCCCTGCGTCCTCGGCTGTGGCGGTTGTGGCCTTGGCGGTAGTGGCCTCGGCCACGGCGTTGGTGGCCTCTGCTGAGGCGGTGGTGGTCCCCAGGCACGGCGATCCCTTTACCTCGCAGCACCAGGTCTTTTTGGCCTGCGACCAGCCACTTTCCCATTTGGCCAGCCCCGCCTTGCAGTCAAAAGGCTCTGCGCCGGCCGCGTCATCTGCCGGCCTTTCCAGGCCGCGGCGCACTAGCGCCGCCGCCCCCCCGCCGCCCGACTGCAGCCTGCACCAGCGCGATGCACCGCCGCAGCCCTCGCAGGCCGCACGCGACTGGCCGCACCTGCTCGACGAGTTCGCGAGGGCGCTCGGGAAGCAGCTGCCGCAGAAGTCGCCCGAGTCCATCGCGGCCAGGCAGCACTGGCCATCCTCGCCGCCGCCGCCGGCGGCCGCGGGCTGCACGGCGGCCTCTTCGCACCAGGCGGCCTTGCCCCCGCAAGCGTGGCAGTCCGAGCTTGAGCCGCCGCACCTGCTCCCGGGCAGCGCGCGCGCGCCCGGGAAGCACTGCCCGCAAAGGTCCGCGCCGGCGCCGGCGGAGGCGAGGCAGCAGAAGCCGCCGTCCGCCGCGCGCAGCGCCGCCGCTGGGGCAGCGGCCGGCACCGCCAGCGGGGCAGGGGCCGCAGTGGGCGCCGCCCGGTCCGCCTCCGCGGCCAGAGTGGGCCCGGGCAGCGGCGGCGGCCCGGGCGCCGAGGTGTCCGCCGCCTGCGGAGGGGCGGCGTCCGTGCACCAGGTGGCCCTGCCCCCGCACGCGGCGCAGCTGCTCTCGGAGGCGCCGCAGTGGCTGGAGGGGCCTGTGCGGGCGTACGCGGGGCAGGAGCCGCAGAAGTCGCCCTCGCCCCTGGAGGCCAGGCAGCAGAACGCCCCCAGAGAGTCCTCGACTGCGCCCGCAGCCAGTGCGGCGGGCACCTCCTCGGCGGTGGTCTCGCGATCAAGATCCCCGACGGAGAAATTGAAGAACTTCACTGTCTCAGAGCAGTCGGCGGCACTGTCCGACTTGCAGGGGCCTTTCTCGTCTTTGCCCAAGCCGTCCATCCACAGCATATCATCGTCGCTCCAGTAGCTCAAGACGGGCGTCATCCCAGCTCGGACTGCCCTGGACAGCTCCTCCATTCCCTCGTAAGACGTGATGCTCGTCTTCAGCGCACACGAACGTCCCGCCTGCGAAAGCTCTACCGCCATCCCGGCAAGCCAGCCCGACGCGTTCACAGGGAAAGAGGCCGCCACCTGGAACGGCTCCGAGGTATCGATGCACGTGCCGCCCGGGGAATACTGCATCCCTGTCCAGTCCCGCGGGCCAGTCCAGTCCCTCCCACCGCCGCCGTAGCCGCCGCCCACCCCGCTCGGGTCGCTCTCAACGTGCAGAGTGGAGTGCCACGCATACATGTTAGCCTCCTGGATGTCGATCTCCGCGCACGATTCGCCGCAGACGTTGTTGGCGTCGCAGTAGTGGTCCCCGCACTCCGATTTCTTCTCGTTGAGGTTCATCGAGGTCAAGTACAAAGCGGCGTTGCACCCGCAGCCTGCGCCCGAGAGGTCGACGGTGTAGCGCAGAGACTTCCCGAGCAGATTGAAGCCCATGTACTGCCTGTTGTCGTACTCGCCAGGCGTGCACTCCAGGGCGAAGTAGGCGCGACTCCCCATGTGCGGAACCACATTGCCGCTGCCGTCGACCTCGAACTCGGCGCCCCCGTCGGGGGACCCCCAGCCTGAGGGGCGGGGAGGAGCCTCAGGGGGGGACCAAAAGCATCGACCTAGCATCGGCAATGCATCGCCGATAGATCTGCGATGGGACCCGATGGCGAAAGCGCACGCGGCCAGGTGGGGTGGGCTATCCGGCCCCAATCGGCGATCAATGGGCGATCGAGGGTCGATGCTTTCCCCCCCTGAGACTATCCCCCCGTGTCGCTCCCCCTTGGCCTTCGGGTCATACCTCGGCAGTCCGGCGGCCGTTCGGGACAATCTGGGCACCGCTGGAACCCCAGCGGCGAGGCGCGGCTGCTGGAGAGCACCCCGAGACTGGGGTGCCGCGGACAGTCGACGAAAACGCCCGAAGACCTCGAGCCTCGAGCCACGAGGCTGTCGTCCCCCCTCCAGCCTGCTCAGATCACCGCGAGGGTTGCCAAGGGCATCAAGGGGGTTCTGCGTTCATGCTGCAGCGGGATACTATTTGGCCGAGCCTGGCGTGTAAGTGCATTCCAAGTGCCCCGAGTGGCTTCGGTGGAGGGGTCAAGTTCCGGGCTAAGTGGGTTCCGCCCACTTGACGGTGTTACCTAACCTCCCTGCGCCACTGAGGGCACGGCACTTACAACGCACTCACAAACAATGGTCGGCCAGATCTAACCCACCTTAGCATCCGCTTAGAACCTCCTGTCCTGGTAGCAACCCCCGTGGTGATCCTATCCTCTTGCATCTGCCCTCAATTGCTTAGGGGGGTTACGTAGCTCCGCTAAGTGGGCGGATCACACGTCACCCGAATCTCCCCCCACCTCAGCCACTCAGGGCACTTGGGACTGGAGCGAACTTACCAGCTGGGTTCGGCCAGATATCACCAACCTCAGCATCTGCTCATGAGCTCAGATCCTCTTTGCACCCCCTGCGGTGATCCGAATACCCCTCCCATGACGTTTGCGAGGCGGGGATTTGTCCATATCAGCGGGCGGTGGATATGGATACATTTCGGCCCCTGGGGGCCCAAATATATCCATATCCACCGCCTGTCGAGGTCTACGAAAATCGATCCCCCTGGCGGTGGTTAATTAACTATGTAGAAATCCCCGCCTCGGAACGTTGTCCCTGGCAGCCGGTCGGCACGAACGACCCTTTCCCCTGGACCGGGGTTTTCATCCCGAGTCGTTGTTTGACGGTCCCGAGGCCAGGGAGGGCCCCCAGGGGCCGAAAGTAGCGAAAAACCTCCCGACGTGATCTTTTGTTCCACGGGCTCGAGGGGGTCTGGGTCAGCATCCGCCCACGGGCTCCTGTCCTCTTCGCACCCCCTGCGGCAATCCGCGTCTACCCCTCCCCTGACGTTTAACAGTGGATATGTCGACCCCTATCCCAGGCTTTGGGAGGTTTTCGAATGGACAGAAAAATTGGGGCCCAACCCTGGGATATACGACGGGGGCGCGCCCATCCTCGAGAGGGTCTGTGCGAATAGCCCCCTTGGGGTGTATCCCAGGGTCTCCCTCCTTTTCTGAGCGGCTTTATTTTTCGTCGAGAAGTCGGGGGTCGGGGGAGAAAAATCGGCTGCGAACGTCGTCCCCGGCAGCCGGTGGGCACGAGCGACACCGGCAGCGGCGCGCCGCCCTCGCCGCCGGCCACCTGCACGGTGCCCGGGCACGAGGCGCCGCGAGCCACCTTAAAGGGAAATTAGGACACACAAATAAATAGACACAAATTAAAATATCCCCCATATTTTCCCATATTTTCTGGGTTTCTGTCTTCCCCCCCACTTCCCATATTTTCCCATATTTTCTGGGAATCGCCGATTAATTGTGTCTGTGTGTTTTTTCCCCTCCTGACACCTGCCCGGCCCCGAGGGCGGCCACGGCCAGCGCCAGCGCGGCGAGCGCGCGGCCCATCTTCTGAGGGGTAGCGAAGGGGGGGCTCTACACCCTGCGAAATGCTCAAGAAATCATGGGTTAAGAAACTCATAGTCTCAGAATGTGAATAAAAACCCAGAACTTCTATCAAGATCTTAGGATTTACGTTGAAACATTAAGAAGAATCGAGACTCTCGCCGAAAACTTAAGTTTTCTTAAGCATCGCCTAAGGTGTAGGCATCAGGAAGGGGGATGCATCGACGTGGAACCGGCGAGAGTGGATCCGCACCTTCCTGCAGGGCGGATTGGGCCTATATTGGGCCCCTACCGGCGATCCATGAGCGACTGGGGGTCGATGCCTCCCCCCCCTGGGCCTATTCCCCCCTATCGTTCCCCCCGATCTTCGAGCCCAGACCTCCAACGATGTGATGCTTTCAATCGCGGCGTCTTCCGCCGATTTCGGCCTCGGGGGCTGGCGAGTGGGCCCAAAGGGGCCCTCCGGAAAAGGCTCGGAGCCGGGACGGCAAGCTTTTTACCCCCTTATTGGGGAGGCGTCGGGGCCCCTGGGCGCCCCGCACTGACAGCATCACATCGTCGGGTGTCTTGGACCGGTCGAGGCCACGGCGGCCCTCCCCGGTGGTCGTCGTCTTCCACTGGGGCCGCCCGGAGGCCTCTCGTCGCAACGGCCGGGTCCGCCTGGGAAGACGGGGCAGGACAGGCACCCAGGAGGGGTCCCACACCCCCTCGAGTCATGAAGAGATCACGGCGCAAGGTTTTTCCATATTTTCGCCCTCTGGAGGCCCTCACCGGCCCTCGGGACCGTTAACAAAACGACTCGGGATGAAAAACCGGTCCCGGCGAACAGGTCCGGCCGGACCTCTGGGGGTCGCGTCATGAAAAGATCATGACGTCGGGGGTCTGGGGTCCAGGGACCGATTCTTGAGCGGGTTTGGGGGCTGGGCGGGAGCGCCGCCGCGGTCTCGACGGAGCTGGCCGTCCTCCGATGGTCCCCCACCGGGCGCAAAAAAGCACAGGGCCCCCTGCAGGCCTGGGAGCCGCGCCGGGGCCGAATTCCTGATCCAAAGCGGCTTGGGCCAAAGCGGCTGCGGCAGACGCGCCTCGGCGCACGAGGAGCGCTGGAGGAACATCCACGGAAGGACCCAAGGAACAGCGAGCCCCCTCCAAGCCCGGAATGCTCCTTCGCAAACATCCGACAACGTTTTTTTCCAATGCGCGTCAAGGGGTCCCGACCCCTTCCCCAAAGGTTGAGCATCGACTCATGTCAAAACCTGAAGCACAAATTTAAATCATCCATCGCCTGCGAAACCGATATTCTTGGACCTCGGGAGGCGGTGAAGGTCACAACTATTTGGACCCAGGAGCCCAAATATATCCATACCCACCGCCCGCCAGGGTACCAGGACATCGGTGTCCCAGGCGGTGGATGTGAATAAATCACCGCCTCGCACTGATGGTCCGAACTCCGACAACGGGCCCCCGAGACCGTAGGAAAACCGCGGAATTTGAAAAACAAGCATCTCGCCAGAGACCAGGCTCACATCACATCAGGGGTCGGGCGCATCCCACGACAGGCAGATTTTGGAGCGAAAAATAGGCAATACTCCAAAATGGTCAAAAATAGTTCGAATGTCGTCCCTAGACTATGTTTTAACTATTTTTGAATGTTGTTCCTGTAGAGGGACAGGCCCGACTTGACATCAGGGCCCTGATGCACAGCCAGCGTGTCACCACAGGGAGAGCCCGTGGGGGAACGACGCCCCCCCTGCTCGGCGCCCACACGCGCCCTGATGCCCGAGGCTGGTCCCGTCCTTCTGGCCCCGTCCTTCTCGGCACGCCCTGGCTGTCCGCCACCTCCAGGGCCAGAGTTAGACCGGGCGTGTCCCCCTACAGGCGGATTGTGGACGAAAAATACAAGAGCACCCAAAGATCAGAAGTACTACACGTTATCCCGGCAAAGCAACCTAACAGCGATGTGTAGGAACATATCCGGAAACATTCCCCTTAAGATTCAGATGATAACTCAGTTGTAGAGTTCTGCTGTTCTCGCAGTCGTAGTCGCAGTCGCGATGACAGTCGCAGTGGCAACGGCAGTCGCAGTCACAGCCTCAGCCTCAGCCTGCCTCAGCCTCAGCCTCAGCCTGCCTCAGCCTCAGCCTGCCTCAGCCTCAGCCTCAGCCTGCCTTCAGCCTCAGCCTCAGTCTGCCTTCAGCCTCGGCCTCAGCCTCAGCCTGCCTCAGCCTCAGCCTGCATCAGCCTCAGCCTCAGCCTCAGCCTGCCTCAGCATCAGCCTGCCTCAGCCTCAGCCTCAGCCTGCCTCAGCCTCAGCCTCAGCCTGCTTCAGCCTCAGCCTCAGTCTGCCTTCAGCCTCGGCCTCAGCCTCAGCCTGCCTCAGCCTCAGCCTGCATCAGCCTCAGCCTCAGCCTCAGCCTGCCTCAGCATCAGCCTGCCTCAGCCTCAGCCTCAGCCTGCCTCAGCCTCAGCCTCAGCCTGCTTCAGCCTCAGCCTCAGTCTGCCTTCAGCCTCGGCCTCAGCCTCAGCCTGCCTCAGCCTCAGCCTGCATCAGCCTCAGCCTCAGCCTCAGCCTGCCTCAGCATCAGCCTGCCTCAGCCTCAGCCTCAGCCTGCCTCAGCCTCAGCCTCAGCCTGCCTCAGCCTCAGCCTCAGCCTCAGCCTCAGCCTCAGCCTCAGCCTCAGCCTCAGCCTCAGCCTCAGCCTCAGCCTCAGCCTGCCTCAGCCTCAGCCTCAGCCTCAGCCTGCAGCCTCAGCCTCAGCCTGCCTCAGCCTCAGCCTCAGCCTCAGCCCTCAGCCTCAGCCTCAGCCTCAGCCTCAGCCTCAGCCTCAGCAGCCTCAGCCTCAGCCTCAGCCTCAGCCTCAGCCTCAGCCTCAGCCTCAGCCTCAGCCTCAGCCTCAGCCTCAGCCTCAGCCTCAGCCTCAGCCTCAGCCTCAGCCTCAGCCTCAGCCTCAGCCTCAGCCTGCCTGCCTCAGCCTCAGCCTCAGCCTGCAGCCTCAGCCTCAGCCTCAGCCTCAGCCTGCCTCAGCCTCAGCCTCAGCCTGCCTCAGCCTCAGCCTCAGCCTCAGCCTCAGCCTCAGCTGCCTTCAGCCTCGGCCTCAGCCTCAGCCTGCCTCAGCCTCAGCCTGCATCAGCCTCAGCCTCAGCCTCAGCCTCAGCATCAGCCTCAGCCTCAGCCTCAGCCTCAGCCTGCCTCAGCCTCAGCCTCAGCCTGCAGCCAGCCTCAGCCTCAGCCTCAGCCTCAGCCTCAGCCTCTTCAGCCAGCCTCAGCCTGCAGCCTCAGCCTCAGCCTCAGCCTGCCTCAGCATCAGCCTGCCTCAGCCTCAGCCTCAGCCTGCCTCAGCCTCAGCCTCAGCCTGCTTCAGCCTCAGCCTCAGTCTGCCTTCAGCCTCGGCCTCAGCCTCAGCCTGCCTCAGCCTCAGCCTGCCTCAGCCTCAGCCTCAGCCTGCCTCAGCATTCAAAATGTGGCCCGGGAATGGAGTTCTGGGAACTCGAAGAACACGAAGTGGCCTACAGTTGGCCCCAGGCATTCAAAATCATGCCCAGGAATGGAGTTCTGGGAACTCGAAGACCACGAAGTGGCCTACAGTTGGCCCCAGGCATTCAAAATCATGCCCAGGAATGGAGTTCTGGGAACTCGAAGACCACGAAGTGGCCTACAGTTGGCTCCTGGCATTCAAAATCATGCCCAGGAATGGAGTTCTGGGAACTCGAAGAACACGAAGTGGCCTACAGTTGGCTCGGGGCATTCAATGCCATGCCCAGAAATGGAGTTCTGGGAACTCGAAGACCACGAAGTGCGTTACTGCTGGCAAGAAAAGAGTCCCCAGCATCCTCCCCGGGATCCCGCCCAGACCCCCCTGGGGCGTCATGATGCTCTCCTTTGACACTACTAGAAACCTATCAGTCTTCGCTGTTAGGTAAATAGTTGCTTTTTTTCCCGCCAGCACACACAACAACAAAAAACGTCCCTAAACTATGTTTGCCTATTTTTGAATATCCCTCCTTTAGAAGGACAGGCCCGACTTGAAGCCAGAGGTGGGGCGTGTACTCAACGGGCCCTGGGAGTCGGGAGGCGGAAGAGGGGCAGAGGGCGAAGGAGAGGGCGAGGGGGAGGAGGGCGGAGGCTCGATGAGGCGGAGTCGCAGGACTAGGGCGGAGGCAGGAGAAGGCGGAGCGGCAGAAAAGGGCGATGGGTGGGGGGAAGAGAGAGGCAGACAGACAGACAGACAGACAGACAGACAGACAGACAGACAGACAGACAGGCAGGCAGGCAGGCAGACAGGCAGACAGACAGACAAGGCAGACAGACAGGCAGGCAAGCAGGCAGAGGCAGAGAAGGAGGGAGACATGGAGAGAACTCTCGCAGGTCTTGCGCCAACACCGCCTCGAACTTGCGCGCTCCTGCGGCTATCTTGGCTGCAGGGAGAGCACACAGCATGTGAATCCGATAGCGGCCCCTTCTGCAACGCTGACCCTGACTCGACCAACAAGCGACGCGAAGCAAGCACGGCGGACGCTGCATCGCGATCTCGGACTCCAGGGGCAATCTTGGATTCTGTTGCCACAGAGAAGCACACTGGCGGCGAAATGCAGTGAGGGCTGATTGCAGAGGGCACCCGCGAGGACACGAAACTCCTCCGAGGGTTACCTGCGCCCCACGTGTGAAGAAGGCATGAGGCGCGATAGACGGCACACGCAAATTCGACCGATCGCTCCCACCCATTAAAAGAAGAAAAAATCACATAAACATAACCTTTTGGCGCTCCGCGCGGATTTCTGGGATTCACGCTGGAAACCCCCACCCTGGCGCGCTGAGCGCGCCAGGGGCGGCGCCGGAGGCGCCGCTGGGGGGCCCAGGCGCGGATCCAAGAGATCCGCGCGGAGCGCCAAAAGTTTATGTTATGTGCATTTCCTTCTTCGAAGAAATCATGGGGGCCATCTCATTCTGCTCCAGGGGCCGTCTCATTCTGCCAGCGCCGCGCGGGCGCTACGCGATGGGCCCCGCTCGTCGTCGCGGACGCTCGCCGCTCGTCGCTCGTCGTTGTCTTCGACGTCGTCACCCGCCGCTCGTCGCCTCCAAGGGCCCCCTGGGGGCCGTGCGTTGAGCAGGGACCGACCGTCCCGGCATTTCTATAGGCCCACCACGACATGTTCTTAGAACCCAACAATGTTCTAAGAACAAAAACAGTGCTCTTAGAACACAAGCCCGATGTGTTCAAACAAGACAGTCCCAGCCAGAAATGTTCGAATGACATTTCGTGCAGATCACAACAGGTTCTTATGACATTCTTTGGTGGGCCTATAGGCGAGCCAGGACGCTTTGCCACTGCTTGAGAGCGAGGGAAGCGATGACACAGTGCTCATGGATATCGAGCAGAGGTGCGCTGCAGCGGCGCTTCTGGGGCCGGAGGAAAGCGCGGCGTCCCCGCGCAGCGGTGGTCTGTGTCTCCTAATGCTCTGAGGACCGCCGAGGGAGGTCGCCCGGCGGGAGTCCCATCTCGATCGCCCACTTGCTCTGGACTCGGGGTTGGACAGAACCCCAGTCGGCAAAACGCCCTTCAGTGAAAGCTGCCAGGGGAAACTCCACGTGCGCAAGCCACCTCTCCGAGTTGACCCCAGCGGGGTAGCTAATCGACGTTGAAAACACCCGAAGGTAACCGGCGAAACGCACGTCGATTAGCGAAGCCGACTGCCGGCTGACACTGGCTCTGGTACACTCGAATGAAAAAATCGAGTGGACCAGTGCAGATGTCCTCAGTCGACTTGTCTGGGTGGGCGTTCTCCCAAATGTCCCAGGGACAGCAACGTGGGTTATATCTGGCGAAACCTAGCTTATAAATGGGCTACCGATGTTGTTTTACCGTTTTCGATTCAGGCACTGCTGTTTTACCGTTTTGTTTCCCCTGGTGGAAGCCTGGTCTGGACCACAGTTGTTTACAAAATCCAACACGTTTTCGAACCCGTCCCGAACGTCCTTGGGATCCCCAGGCTGCCCAGGCCGCTCTAGTTAATCATGTTACCGTTTCGATGAACCGACCAAGAGGCAATTGTTTGAAAACGAATTGAAACAAACACCCCTGCCGCTTCCAAGGTCCATGGGAAGACTTCGCACGAACGATTCGCACGATGAAGACCCATCTATTCAGCCGGGGGTTAAGCCGGATTAAGCGGGATGACAACGGGCTGAAAGGATTTAGGCCAGATCAGGCCAATTTTCGACTACGGATATACCAGCGCCGAAGCTGAACTTGACCTCCCAGGACTTGCATCCCAACAAACCCTCCCCCGAGCGCGCGCCTGTAGTGTTCCGAATTAGCGAAGGAGATCATGTTCAGGAAACTGTCGCCCCACTTCGACCACATCGTCGTCACCTCCTGCGCCGCCTCCCAGTACCGGCTCCACCTGGCTCTGTGGCCCAGGGGGCAGGGCGGGGACGACGACTCGGAAAGGACTGGGTCAGCCAGCATCGGATCGGAAAACTGGATCGAAACGGCATGTGCCTCGGACCGGGCCACCCTGGCACGGCTCCGATACCGAAACCGATCGGCGTGCGCCGTGCGAACAGATCGGGCCGCGCGAGATTTTCGGAACACCGCAGCTGAGCCGGGTCTGGCCAGCCAGAATCGATGTCGGATAAGATCGATCGAATCCAAACGGGCACAACGAGATACAGCAGGCACATACAATAAAATACCTCGGGAGTTGCGCCTAACCGTCAAATAATCTACGGAGTGTAGTTGCGTTGTGTATTTGCCTAGCGTAGTGAATGTGCGCAGTGTATTTCGGTAGTGTATTTACGTAGTGCAGTTGCGTAGTGTATTTGCGTAGTGTATTCGCGTATCGCAGTTTACGTAGTGCGTTTGCGTAGTCCTGGGGACGCTGCCGAGCACCTCGATCGGGCGATGGGCAGTGGCAATGCTGGAGACGTCCGTGGTGACGCTACTGTGCTGGGGGCTGCGTCGTGCTCCCCTGCGCTGTCCCGCGCCGCACTGTGACGTGACAGGGATGGAGCCCACAACGTAGTGTATTTGCGTAGTGTAGTTGCGTAGCGTATTTGCGTAGTGTATTCACGTAGTGTCTTCGCGTAGTGTATTTGTGTAGTGTATGCAAAGCAATGTATTCACGTAGTGTATTTATTTATGTAGGGTGCTTACGGAGTGTGTTTACTCACATAGTGTAACTACGTAGTGTGTATGCGTAATGGATTCGCGCAGTGTATGTCCGTAGTGGCTTCACGTGTATGTACGTGGTGTATTTACGCAGTGTATTTACGTCGTGTATTTACGTCGTGTGTTTGCGTAGTGTATTTGCGTAGTGTATTCGGCGTGCCGCCGCAAGGGAGCCTCGTACTGGATCGTGCCGCTCCCTTGGGAGCACTCAGGAGACAGAAAAGCACGGACATGCTCGACAGGCGTACCCAAGCCGGTCAACACCTGCCACAGTTCACTATGTGTTCTTAGCCCGGTGCGTTGAAGATCCCATGGGCGAAAATCGTCCAGAGTGGATTCCATGATGCTCGAAGCATGGACTATCACGCCTGGAATGGAATCAAGAGCCAGGGAGGGCTTGAGCAAAGATTGCTTGAGCCAAAACGGCTACGGACGACGTGAAAGCGGACTTGTGAGGGGGTGGGGTGGGGGGGAGGCGAAGTGGGTCCGCGCATGCCGTCGCCGCCATTTGGGCCTTCGGTGGTGCTCCTTACAGGACCACGAAGCGTGTGAGAAGTGTGCCGAAATAGAAGGCGCGGATGCGTGCGGCCACCGCCACTCGGGCCTTCGCTCGAGCTCTATATGGTGCCACGAAGCGTGTTCGGAGGGTGCAAACAAAAATGGGAGGCGCTGACTCATGCGGTCACCGCCGCTTGGGCCTTCGGTCGATCTAACGTGTGAGAGGTGTTCCCGCACTGCAGGCGCGGACGCATGCGGTCACCGCACTGGGGCCTTCGGTCGAGCTCCCTGTGGGGCCACGAAACGTGCTCGGGGGTGCCAGGAGAAAAAGCGAGGACGTATGGAGTCACCGCCACTGGGGCCTTAGGTCGAACTCCCCGTGAGGCCACGACACGTGTGAGTGTGTGTGTGTGTGTGCCGAGATGTGACTGATGGTGGGGATTGTGCTGATGCTGTTGCTGATGCTGCTGCTGCTGACGACGTCGGCGACGTTGATGATAACGATGATGATGGTGGTCGTGATGACGATGATGATTTTTCCTATGGCTCCAGGCAGCGGTTCATGATGATCGGGGTAATGCTGCTGCTGCCGCTGATGATGATGATGAGGATGCTAACGCTAATGAAGATGAGGATGATGATGGCGATGGCGATGATGTCCGGTGAGGGGGAGGAGGGGAGGATGAGGTGACGCGGGGCGCTGCTGAATCAAAACGAGGACCCAACACCACATGATGGTTGGGAATCGTATCGTCGGATGCATGGGGATGCCGAAATCGCATTTGTCCTTCCGCGGGCGCCCGTAGCCCAGACCCCAGATGTTTTGGTTTTGTTCGCAGCGTCGACCCGTGGAGATCTCGACTTCTTCCACAAAGGGCAGGCTTGCCATCCTGATCCACTTTGTTGTCGTCGTTGTCGGTCCAAGGGCTCGGCAAGGGCCCCCTCAGAGGTCCAAAACAGTCAAAAACCCTTCCGTCGAGAAATTCGCCACTACGTGCGGGGGGGATTGACAGGGCCTGGAGGAGGGGGCGTTGCGGGGGGGGACGGCGGCTCCACGGCGGGCCACGCGATTTGGGTGCGGAAGACGATGGCGAAGCTCATGCCGATGCCCACGGTGCTGATGGCCCAGTCGTCCTTCAGGCTCCTGCCACCGTCGCCAACGCAAGCGTCGATGCCGCCGCCTTCGCCGTCATCGCTGCTGTCACCGTGACTCGCCGTCGGCTTCGGCGTCGGCGTCGCCCGCCGTCGCCGTCGCCGCTCCCAGCGTCGTCCACGGCAACCCAAGATCACCCTCATAAAGCAACGTGCAACCCAAGTCGAGATGCCAATCCCCGTTTTTCATGCAATCGCTGGTTGACTCCAAGGGTACCGACTCGCGCTGATGTTTTTGTTGGGGGCTAGGGAAGGCAACGAGGTGCAGCTCGGAAGGCGAAGACTGCCAGCTTCCCAACTGATGGGAAAGGGGCCTCCACCATGCAGGAACTGCCCAGATAGGGAGGGGAGAGTGGAACGAAGCAGGAACAACAGGAACAACGAAGAAGGAAGAGAGATGAAACTGCATCCGCGTATCCAGGGATCAAGCCTGGGGCGGGTGTCCGAACACTGATCACCGCAGAAACGCACCGCACTACTCAAAACCCTTGCTGACATGCCGTCGACGTGCCTGACGCGCGCGGACTGGCCCCAGAAAGAGCTGCGATGCTCAGATACAATACTGGCTGACTGGAACTACGGCTCATGAGCATCGATGGCCCGTCCTGGACCGCAGACTGTCCCAAGGAACAATCCCAATCGCCTGCGATCGCAACAGCGCCGTCTCCAGCCACCCATCTTCCGCAGGAGCGTTTCCACACCCCACGGGGAAGGTGCGGCAGAGCAGGAAGGAGGAGGAGGAGGAGGGGAGGAGGAAGAGGAGGAGGGAGGAGAAGGAGGGGGAGGAGAAGGAAGAAAAAGGAAGAAAAGAAGCCGATTCGCGCTGACATACTGCAGTAGCAGACACGTCGACGAACCATGCAAGAGCAGCGGCACCGGAGAGAGGGAGAGGAACACGGGAGGGATGACAGTCACGCTGGGCCCTATGCCTAGGTCGGGCATGTCCTTCGACAGGCGGACTTTGGACGAACAATACATGATAGTCAACACATGCCCTGACAGAGTCGAACAATGACAGAAAAGTCGTTCCCTAACTACTTTTTGACAGCGCTCCAATATTCCTCCTGTAGAGGGACACGTCCGACTTAGATAAGCTCATGCTGACGTCAGAACGCACTCGTTGGGACGGCCCCAGTGGTCCGTCTTTGGGCTCCGGTCCACTGGGCGGGGGCCACCCCGGGCGCCCCTCGGTCGTGGGCCGCGCCGCCTGCGGTGGGCTGGCAGGCGGCCCTGCCCTGCGGTGAGAGGCCGCAGAGCGAGCAGTCCGAAGGGCCACGGCTTCTCTGCAGAGGAGACGAAGCGACGAGAGGCGGCGGGAGCAGGAGCAGTTCGGCCGGGCGCGTCCCCCAGTACAGGCGGACCTTGGACGAAAAATAAAACTGACCCCAAAAATGTTCAACCATATGCAGAAGTAGTCGAAAAACCGTCCCCGAACTATGTTTTACTGTTTTTTCAAGGGCCCAGAATCCTGGAGGAGGCCAGGGAGGGGTCCGCAGAGGGCGGCCGTGACGCCGAGGCGCTCCCCGAAGCTTGGACCACGGACCAGCCCGCTCGTTTCAGGCGGGGCTCGCACGCAAGGCTGAGCCCACAGGGCCCGTCGCCGAAAGGCTCTCCATCCAAGGTGGTCGCCAGGGGGGCCTGACCTCCCTGCGCGCCCGCAGAACCAGGGCGGGGGCAAAGCACCACACGACGGGGGCAGGCAGAATGCCATTACACCACATGGCCGCGTTAACAACGAAATGACGCCAACCAGCGCGTCGAAACCATGACGGACTACGACTGTCCATCACGTCGCCATCCTGCCGTCGTCGGCCGGGGAGCACCACGCGAAGGACAGCGAGGCAAGGTGCAAGCATCCAGCACGGCGTGCCGTAGGTGGGGTGGTGTCCTCTGTTTCTTTGTCGACTTCACTCGCGCTCGCCTGTTCTGAGTGAAGCTGGCAGCAGGTAGACCCGTCGGTCGCCCCACGTGCGAGGGCAATCCCCCCAACACCAGTGCGCCTCCGTCCCAGGCTCCAAGCCACACAGCCCACACCAGGGGCTACCGACGAGGCCTGCTCGAAACTTCCTGACACTGTCCCCATAGCCGTTGGCAGCAAGGCACCTTGTCGCGGTCTGATGGAGCGCCGTCCAGTCGCTCGCGGCCGAAGGCTTGAGGGAGCAGAGGTGCCGAACAGGGGTGAGAAAAGGGAGGGCGGGAGAGCGAGGAGAGGCGTGGACACTCTGCGTGCGACGTACGCATCAGTTCGCGGCCTTCTGGGTCGATCGGGGGCAAGCCTCACTCAAACCCAGCACCTCGCCTCGCGCCGTCCTTAACCCGAAAATGCCACGCCCACCCAATGCGAAGGCAGGATGTAGGGGTGGCAAAGATGGAGCCCTTGGCCAGCGACCAGGCCCTGTCGATGGGCCCCGTGGTTCGGGCGAAACTCCGATCGGCCGTTCTAAGAAGAACCCAACCCGTTCAGGCGGGAACCGTCGGGACCACACGGCCTGGGCCAACATAGAAATGGGCCCGACCGTGCAAGCATATGCTGGGTCAACCGTGGCAGGGTCGCCATTTCATCTGCGCGAGGTCACGCGTGAGCGACTGACGGGCCGTTTGTACAAAAAGGGCAGCTCGGACCGCCCTACGAAAATGCACTACCTGTCCCCGCGGCCTACCCGTCACGACGTCCCCCCAAGTCCCCAGTCGGCGGTGGACAAACCTCCCTTTAGTAAACCACCCCTCAGTGAGAACGGCCTAAGACCGAACGCAAAAATGACGACCGCGACGCCCTCTCGCGAACCGAAAACGGCTAATTCGCTAATCGACGTGTCAGGGTAGGAGGTCTGTCAATCTCCGACACAGGCACCATTCCCATCGAAAAGCGCCGCTTGCACTTTCCTCGGGCACGGCGAAGGTGGCTCGGAGCTTCGTGCGAGCGTCTCGGCACGCGTCCTCCGAGGCGCTGGCGGCGGGTGGCCGTTGCCGAGCCTCCTGCCGCTCGAGATATCGCAGCCCAGACTGCGTGTCGAGCGGGCCTCTCGCCCCCGCCACGTCGGGCATCGCCGACGCGGGGCCTCCACGGCCGAGTGCCCGCTGGAGACGACGGCAGCGGGCGGAGGAGACGGCTGGAGGGAGGAGGGCGGCTGGGGAGCCTCCTCCTCCTCCTCCTCCTCCTCCTCCTCGTCCTCCTCCTCCTCCTCCTCCTCCCTGCACTTTTTTCTGTGCTCCCCCTCCCGCAGAAAAAAAATCCCGGCAACGCAACCTAACATCGATGTGTAGGAGCATATCTGGAAGCATTCCCCTTAAGATTCAGATGATAATCCAGTTGTAGAATTCTGCTGTTCTCGCAGTCGTAGTCGCATTCGCGATGACAGTCGCAGTGGCAACGACAGTCGAAGTCACAGCCTCAGCCTCAGCCTGCCTCAGCCTCAGCCTCAGCCTGCCTCAGCCTCAGCCTGCCTCAGCCTCAGCCTCAGCCTGCTTCAGCCTCAGCCTCAGTCTGCCTTCAGCCTCGGCCTCAGCCTCAGCCTGCCTCAGCCTCAGCCTGCATCAGCCTCAGCCTCAGCCTCAGCCTGCCTCAGCATCAGCCTGCCTCAGCCTCAGCCTCAGCCTGCCTCAGCCTCAGCCTCAGCCTGCTTCAGCCTCAGCCTCAGTCTGCCTTCAGCCTCGGCCTCAGCCTCAGCCTGCCTCAGCCTCAGCCTGCATCAGCCTCAGCCTCAGCCTCAGCCTGCCTCAGCATCAGCCTGCCAGCCTCAGCCTCAGCCTCAGCCTCAGCCTCAGTCTGCTCAGCCTCAGCCTCAGCCTGCCTCAGCCTCAGCCTCAGCCTGCCTCAGCCTCAGCCTGCCTCAGCCTCAGCCTGCAGCCTCAGCCTCAGTCTGCCTTCAGCCTCGGCCTCAGCCTCAGCCTCAGCCTCAGCAGCCTGCCTCAGCTCAGCCTCAGCCTCAGCCTCAGCCTCAGCCTCAGCCTCAGCCTCAGCCTGCAGCCTCAGCCTCAGCCTCAGCCTCAGCCTGCCAGCCTCAGCCTCAGTCTGCCTTCAGCCTCGGCCTCAGCCTCAGCCTCAGCCTCAGCCTGCATCAGCCTCAGCCTCAGCCTCAGCCTGCCTCAGCATCAGCCTGCCTCAGCCTCAGCCTCAGCCTGCCTCAGCCTCAGCCTCAGCCTGAGCCTCAGCCTCAGCTGCCTCAGCCTCAGCCTCAGCCTCAGCCTCAGCCTCAGCCTGCCTCAGCATCAGCCTGCCTCAGCCTCAGCCTCAGCCTGCCTCAGCCTCAGCCTCAGCCTCAGCCTCAGCCTCAGCCTCAGCCTCAGTCTGCCTTCAGCCTCGGCCTCAGCCTCAGCCTGCCTCAGCCTCAGCCTGCATCAGCCTCAGCCTCAGCCTCAGCCTGCCTCAGCATCAGCCTGCCTCAGCCTCAGCCTCAGCCTCAGCCTGCAGCCTCAGCCTCAGCCTCAGCCTTCAGCCTCAGCCTCAGCCTCAGCCTCAGCCTCAGCCTCAGCCTCAGCCTGCCTCAGCCTCAGCCTGCCTCAGCCTCAGCCTGCCTCAGCCTCAGCCTGCAGCCTCCTCAGCCTCAGCCTGCCTCAGCTCTCAGCCTCAGCCTGCAGCCTCAGCCTCAGCCTGCTTCAGCCTCAGCCTCAGTCTGCCTTCAGCCTCGGCCTCAGCCTCAGCCTGCCTCAGCCTCAGCCTGCATCAGCCTCAGCCTCAGCCTCAGCCTGCCTCAGCATCAGCCTGCCTCAGCCTCAGCCTCAGCCTGCCTCAGCCTCAGCCTCAGCCTGCTTCAGCCTCAGCCTCAGTCTGCCTTCAGCCTCGGCCTCAGCCTCAGCCTGCCTCAGCCTCAGCCTGCATCAGCCTCAGCCTCAGCCTCAGCCTGCCTCAGCATCAGCCTGCCTCAGCCTCAGCCTCAGCCTGCCTCAGCCTCAGCCTGCTTCAGCCTCAGCCTCAGTCTGCCTTCAGCCTCGGCCTCAGCCTCAGCCTGCCTCAGCCTCAGCCTGCATCAGCCTCAGCCTCAGCCTCAGCCTGCCTCAGCCTCAGCCTGCCTCAGCCTCAGCCTCAGCCTGCCTCAGCCTCAGCCTCAGCCTCAGCCCTTCAGCCTCGGCCTCAGCCTCAGCCTCAGCCTCAGCCTCAGCCTCAGCCTCAGCCTCAGCCTCAGCCTCAGCCTAGCAGCCTCAGCCTCAGCCTCAGCCTGCAGCCTCAGCCTCAGCCTGCCTCAGCCAGCCTCAGCCTCAGCCTCAGCCTCAGCCTCAGCCTGCCTCAGCCTGCCTCAGCCTCAGCCTCAGCCTCAGCCTCAGCCTCAGCCTGCTTCAGCCTCAGCCTCAGCCTGCCTTCAGCCTCGGCCTCAGCCTCAGCCTGCCTCAGCCTCAGCCTGCATCAGCCTCAGCCTCAGCCTCAGCCTCAGCCTGCCTCAGCCTCAGCCTCAGCCTCAGCCTGCCTCTGCCTCAGCCTCAGCCTGTAGCAGCCTCAGCCTCAGCCTCAGCCTGCCTCCACCTCAGCCTGCCTCAGCCTCAGAATTAGCCTGCCTCAGCATCTAAAATGTGGCCCGGGAATGGAGTCCTGGGAACTCGAAGAACACGAAGAGGCCTACAGTTGGCTCCGGGCATTCAAAATCATGCCCAGGAGCGGAGTCCTGGGAACTCGAAGACCACGAAGTGGCCTACAGTTGGCTCCGGGCATTCAAAATGTGGCCCGGGAATGGAGTTCTGGGAACTCGAAGAACACGAAGTGGCCTACAGTTGGCTCCCGGCATTCAAAATGTGGCCCAGGAACGGAGTTCTGGGAACTCGAAGAGCACGAAGTGGCCTACAGTTGGCTCCGGGCATTCAGAATGTGGCCCGGGAATGGAGTTCTGGGACCTCGAAGACCACGAAATGTGTAACTGTTTGCTTAAAACGACTTCCGCGGATTCTCCCCGGATCCTGCGCGGACCCCCCTGGGGAGTCATGATGCTTTCTTTTGGGACCATTAGAAACCTATCGGTCTTCGCTGTTAGGTTAAAAAACGAACAGGACAGGCAGCAAAACAACAGGAGGCACGGAAAGCTTGAGCAAGCTCCAAGCCGCAGTGCCTCGGGGCGTTCCCCACCATCGGCCCGCAGAAGTCACTCCCGAGCTCGGGGCCTTCAGAAAAGACTGCCGGGGAACCGTCCCGAAGACCGTGTTCGCTCGACCCCAAGGGTCGAGCAAGAACGTCATTCTGGGGAGGGTGGCGAATGATCTGGGGCTGCGCGCTGAGGAGCCCTGAGAGGTGGAGGGAGGGGTACGGAGGGGAGGTCCAGAGAGGCAAGGGGAAGGAGGGGGAAGGAGAGGGAGAAGGACAAACTGTGTAGGTGCGCTTGCGCCATGTTTGACATCCGATCCTTCCCTGCCCGGGAACTCAAAAAAGACTCAATTGAGTCATGCGCAATCGGAAAAGGAAAGCTGCATACATATGAGGAGGAGGAGAAGGAGGAGGAGGAGGAGGAGGAGGAGGCGTGTGAGTGGGCAGGAGGAACAGGAGGCGGATGAGGAGGGAGGAGAACGAGGACGAACAAAAACCAGCAGGAACTGACTGGAGTGGAAGGAGTGGGAGGAGCAGGAGGACCAGTGGAAGGCGGAGGAGGGGAAGATAAAGGGGGGGCAACAACCATGAAAAAGGACTCGGACGCAGAAAAGTAGCCCGCGCTGGGGCGAGAGCGCCATTCTGAACGACGGGAGCACATGGCCGATCCGAAATTGAGGCCCATCCTGAAGCAGGAACGCCATTCTTCGAACACCAAAAAAACAGATGGTAGCAAAAACGAAGAAGCAACTCGACCCGATCCTGTGTAACAGAAGAGTACGCGGAGGGGGACCGGACGTCCCCCTTACAGGATGAGGGGAGAGAGGCGAGCAGCACTCCTGGTGTGCAACTGTGACGCGGGCGGAGGCAAAAGGAAGGGAAGGGATGAGGTTGGAGGGGGGGGAGGGGAATGGGGAATCAGGGGAAGTCCAGGTCGGAGGTCCTGGGACCGGGGGGGGGGGGGGAGGAGAAGGAGAGAGGAGGGCGGGAGGCCAGGAGCAGAGGCTGGATAGAGAGCGGAGGAGGAACTGTCTCCGAGAGGAGCAGCAGCGGATCTGCTGACCCGGGTCAATCCAGACCCGGGTCGGTCAGGCCTTGCAGGATCCTGCAAGACGCAAGATCCTGCAGGATCCTGCAGGCACCTGCACCTCGCAAACCCAGGTCAGTGCGCCCCATGGCTCTGCGAGGTCCTGAAAGATCCGGCGCGCTGATTCACCCCCGCTTGCATCGACCCCCGTCTCTTGAGCCCCGAGCTCTACGCAAGCTGGTGTGGCCAGGCTCCCACTGGGATCACTACGGCGGTTGCTAGGGAGACAGGGGGGTACAAGTGGATGCTACAGCGAACTCTGTCTGGCACGACCCAGCCTCTAGGTGAGTCAGAAGTGCCCCAGAACGGCTCTTTATCCTGAGTCGCTTTTGGCAGCCGTGGGTCCCCACGAGGGCCCCCAGGTGCAGGGCATCGGCAGAAGCCTTCTGCCGCGCGCCTTGCACGACGAGAGGGTGCTAGGATTAGGTCGGGCATGTTCCCCTACAGGGGGATTTTGGAAGAAAAATCAGAAATACTCAAAGAATGCCCCCAAATAGCCAAAAGTAGTCACACACACAAAAAAAAATATCCTGGCGAAGGACCCAACCATATGCAATTGTGAATAACGCTTTGTGGGTGCCGCTTTCGGTGGGGCTCCTTATGGGGCCACGAAAGACGTGCCACGAAACGCTGTCCTGGGCGTACGGGACGCATGAGGGCGGTGGCACTGGGGCCTTCGGTGGAGCTCCATGTGGGGCCACGAAACGTGTGAGGGGTGTGCCGAAATGGGTGCTGCGTCGCCATGCGAACGCAGCCACTGGGGCCTTCGGTGGAGCTCCCTATGGGGCTATGGGGCCACGAAGCGTGTGAGGGGTGTGCCGAAATAGGTGCGGCGCCGCCATGCGGACGCAGCCGCTGGGGCCTTCGGTGGAGCTCCCTATGGGGCCACGAAACGTGTAAGGGGTGTGCCGAAATGGGTGCGGCGCCGCCATGCGGACGCAGCGACTGGGGCCTTCGGTGGAGCTCCCAATGGGGCCACGAAACGTGTGAGGGGTGTGCCGACATGGGTGCGGCGCCGCCATGCGGACGCAGCCGCTGGGGCCTTCGGTGGAGCTCCCTATGGGGCCACGAAACGTGTGAGGGGTGTGCCGAAATGGGTGCGGCGCCGCCATGCGGACGCAGCCGCTGGGGCCTTCGGTGGAGCTCCCTATGGGGCCACGAAACGTGTGAGGGGTGTGCCGAAATGGGTGCGGCGCCGCCATGCGGACGCAGCGCGCTGGGGCCTTCGGTGGAGCTCCCTATGGGGCCACGAAACTTGTGAGGGGTGTGCCGTGATAGTGGGAGGAGGGAGGAGGGAGGGAGGGGGCAGCGGGAGGAAGGGAGGAAGGAAGGAGTGAACGCGGGGCGCTGTCTCTTCAAAACGAGGACCCAACACCACAGGAAGGTTGGGAAAAAAACGTTCCCAGATTACTGTTTGACTATTTTTGAGTAGTCCTCCTGTATAGGAGCAGGCCGGACTTGATGCCAGAACTGGACGCAGGACTCCGACCGCGGCGACGATGCCGTAGCGGGGCGCGCGGGCGCGCGGCGGCGGGCCCCGCTCGGGACCTGAAGGGTGGTGCGCAGGGGGCCCTCCGCAGCTTGGCGACCGGGAGGCCGAGCCGCACGACAGGGCGTCAGGACTGGGCAGGGCCGGGGCGGGGCTGGAGCGAGCCCGAGCGCGGGGGCGAGGCCGTCAGCGGCCTTCGGGGGCACGAGGGCGTGGAGCACCGGGGGCCACCGAGTCGGGCCCAGCTGGCCGCGCCTCCCCTTCCAAACACAGACGCCGACCGCGGCGTCTCCGGCAGCAAGGGGGGGGGGGATCGGCAGATGGTTCGGCTGGTGCTGACGGCAAGCTGTACGCCCATATCCACCGCGTCTCGGGTGTTCGGGACCCCCTGCTTGGAAGCCAGAGGCTTAGTGGACGTGTGTACGGATCTGGCCTCTACAGAAGTCCGAGTTTATCCATATCCATTGCGTCGGAAATTGTTGGCATCCCTTCCGGACAATCTAAGACGCCAGGGATGTGGATATACAGATTCATTCAAGCGCCCATGTTGGCCGTCAAGGTCAAATAAAATTCGAATGGTACCGCCAAGAAAATGGAAAAGCGAAAGGCTCAGCCCCAAAAACTCTGTCCAGCTACCCTGTAACCTCCCGAGCGTCTCGCGGCACGCTTCCAGTTGTGCGGTCTGAGCCCGTTCTCCTGATCAGCTCGAGCTCATCCCCGTACTGGCTGAAGATGTAGTCCAGCGCCTCGTGGGGAGGCTAGCTGGTCGCAGTGTCGAGCGCAATCTGAACCAGCGATGGGGCCACGACATATTCTACTCAACATGTGAGCGACGAACTCAGGCGAACCTTACGCGAGATGACGTAGCGACCTTACGCGGTGGCTCACCCGGGCCTCCAGCGCGGCACGCAACATTGGAGACGTGGGCGCTCACGTGCGACCTTACGCGGGCAGCTTACGCGCCAATGTCGGCGCAGACGCCCCCGCTTTTTTGCGTCGCTCACGCGCCAATTCGCGAACGCGGCGCCTCCCGCAATGCGGGTGCTCTGGGAACCACCAGACGAACGGGGGCTCCGCGATCCACTGTGATGTCTCAGACTCCGCAGACGCCCGTCCTAGCAGGTGCCAGCAATCGAATCCAGTCGAGTACACAGAGAGGCACCGAAGAGGCTCCACGATATGCTGATAAGCGGCCTGGACAGGATATGCCTTCTTTATAGTCGGACCGAGGACCGAAGAACATCCTTCAAGAACAGGAGACCCTCCGCCGGCCAAAACATACAGAACATCCATCCTCCTCAGGATGCACAAGAAAATCCAACAAACATGAAGACTATGAGGGCACCCTCCCCGAACCGAACTCGATCTTATACCTCGGTCCGATTGTACTTGACTACCTCTGGCAGCATGCTGCTCTACTGACACTTTACGCTGAGCTATAATCATCGCGCACGCTTCGCACACGCGAAAGTCCGCGCATTGCGCGGAAGAAGGAGTTCGTCCCAAAATCGGTGGGGCCAGGGATGTTCGAAGTCAACGCGGCCATCTTGAAATACGCAGGGGTAGCGTTTGCAGGATCGAATCGGCAAATCGGATCGAATCGAGATGTACA